CCGTGAGGCTGCTTTCTCGTACCCCCATTTGCTGGTCTCCAATAGGAGTCCAAGATGGCAGATCCATGCTGCGTTAGCTGGTAGGGGACCTCTGCGTGAATCTCTCCTCGTTCTCCGTTCTTTGTCGGTTTTCTCACTCCATTTGGTGCTTGGCTGAGTTCTTTATCTCTTCATTTGATGTTTTAGGGTTTCAGGATTGTACTCTGGCTTAGTTTTTCGGATCTTTGCTGTGGAGGGACGGCGTGGTGCTTCTGCCTAGAGCGCCATTTTGCCGGAACTCCTTATTAAGACTTGTTTTGTGGCCTAACATAGCTTATCCTGGAGAGTGTTCCATGTGGACTTGAGAAGAATATGTATTCTATTGATGGGTGGAGTGTTCTGTATATGTCTGTTAAGTCTAATTGGTTTATAGCGTTCATTTTTCTCTCCTTCCTTATTGATCTTTTTTATCATTATTCTATACATTGAAAGTGGGACATTGAAGTCCCCAACTGTATAAAACTTTTTCTTTTCAATTCTGTTCATTTTTGTTTCGTACATTTTGGCGCTTTGTTGTTAGATGCATATATATGTTTATAATTATTCATAATATATAATGTTTATAATGTTTATAATTTTCTTACTAGGTGGAACTTTTTGTCAATATATAATGTCGTTTGTCTCCTGTAATATGTTTTAATTTAAAGTCTATTTTGTATGATAATATAGCCAACCCAGCTCTTTTTTGGTTACAATTTGCATGGAATCTTTTTCTATCCTTTTACTTTCAACAAAGTTTGTTTCTTGTTGACTAAAGTAAGTTTCCTATAGATAACATATAGATAGATCATGTTTTTTCATGCATTCTGCCACTCCCTGCCTTTGATTGGAGCGTTTAACCACTTACATTTTAAGATAATTACTGATAAGGAAGGACTGCTGCCATTTTTATGTGTGTGTGTGTTTGTGTGTATATATGTATATGCATGTGTATATATATATATATTTGCCGTTTGTGTTTAGTTGATTTTTTTGTAGTAGTGAACTGTTTTGAGTCTCTTCTCCTTTCATGTATATTTTTTAGATTTTTTTTCTTTGTGGTTACCATGACTTACACTTACTATCTTAATGTATAATAACCTAGTTTGAATAATGCCAACTTAGTTGCAGTGGTATACATATACTCTGCCACTATCAGTTGCTGTCGAATTGGCGACCACATGTGTGTCAGAGTGAAACTGTGCTCCATAGAGTTTTCAGTGGCTGACTTTTAAGAAGCAGATTGCCAGGCCTTTCTTTCGAGGCGCCTTTGGATGGACACAAACTTTTTCGTTGAGAAATTTCCCTTCTATACCTATTTTATTGAGAGTTTTTATCAGGAATGGGTGTTGGACTTTGTCGAATGCCTTTTCTGCATCAGTTGAGATGATCATGTGATTCTTTCCTTTTATTTATGTGGTGGGTTACGATGATTGATTTTCTAATGTTGAACCATCCTTGCATACCTAGTATGAATCCTACTTGGTCGTGGTGTATTATTTTTTTGATTTGATGCTGAATTCTGTTGGCTAGAATTTTGTTGAGAATTTTTGCATCTATATTCATGAGAGATATTGGTCTGTAATTTTCTTTTTTTTGTGTGGCGTCTTTGCCAAGTTTTGGTATTAGGGGTATGCTGGCTTTATAGAATGAATTGGAAGTGTCACTTCTTTTTCTGTGTTCTGAAATAGTTTGAGTAGTACTGGTATAAGCTCTTCTCTGAATATTTGGTAGAATTCTCCAGTGAAGCCATCTGGGCCAGGGCTTTTTTTTGGTTGGGTTTTTTTTTATTACCTTTTCAGTTTCTTGTTATGTGTCTGTTCAGATTTTCAACATTACTTTATGATAGTTTGTGTAGGTAGTGTGTTTCTAGAAATTTATCCATTTCCTCTAGGTTTTCAAATTTGTTCTAGTATAGTTTTTCATAATACTCTGTTATCATCCTTTTTATTTCAGTTGGGTCTGTTATAATGTCCCCCATTTCATTTCTTATTTAGGTTACTTGCATCCTCTCCTGTTTTTCTTTTGTCAGTCTGGCCAGTGATTTGTCACTTTTGTTGATTCTTTCAAAGAACCAACTTGGTTTTGTTGATTCTTGCTATTGTTTTTCTATTCTCTATTTTATTTATATCTACTCTGATCTTTATTATTTCCTTTCTTCTGGTGGCTTAGACACAAACTTTTGGTTAGCAGCAAAGCACGTCAATTGTTGGCACCATCCAGGGACTTCTACATACACTGCCCCTATACATTTTCATCCCTCTTTATATTATTGTCACAAATTATGTTTGTAATACATTATGTATCCATTGACATTGACATAGCTTCATAATAGCTGTTTTATGCATTTGTCTTTTAAATCATATATTAAAAAAGGAGTTACGAACCAAAAATACAGTAATACTGGCTTATATCTTTACTGGTGTTCTTTATTTCTTGTGACTTCAAGTTACTGTCTTGTGTGTTTTATTTCAGCCTTAAGGATACCCTTTAATATTTCTTGTAGGGCAGGTCTACTGGTAATGAACTCTCAGCTGTTGTTTATCTGGGAGTCTTTAATTCTCCTTCATTTTTGAAGGAGAGTTTTGCCAGATACAGAATTTTTGGTTGACAATTTTCCCCCCTTTTTAGTACTTTAAAAATGTCATCCTACTTTCTTCTGGCCTTTATGGTTTCTGATGACAAATCAACTGTTAATCTAATTGAGGATCCCTTGTACATGTTGCATTGCTTCTTGCTAGTCTCAAGATTCTGTCTTTGGGTGTTGACAATTTATCTATATGTCTGTGTGGATCCTTCTGAGTTTATTCTGCTTGGAGTTCATCAGACTCGGGATGTTTTTGGCCATTATTATTTTTAAACCCTTTTTCTTTTTTTCCTCTGAGACTCTGATGCATATGTTGGTATGGTTGGTGGTGTCCTACAGGTCTTTCAGTCTCTGTTCATTTCTCGTCATTATTCTTTCTGCTTTTTGGACAATAATTTTGATCGTTTTATATTCAAGTTCACTGATCCTTTCTTCTACCTGCTGTAATTTTCTGTTGAAACTCTTGTGAATTTTTCATTTCACTTACTGTGCTTTTTAGCCCCAGAATTTTCTGTTTGATTCCTTTTTATCATTTAAATGATGTTTTCATTTTGTTCATGTGTTTTCTTAATTTCCTGTAGTTCTTCGTCCATGGTTCCCTTTATCTCATTAAGCATATTTAAGATAGTTGATTTAACATCTTTGACTAGTAATTCCAGTGTATGGTGGGCTTCCTCAGGGATTGTTTCTGTCAATTTGTGTGCGTGTGTGCATGGGCCATACTTCTCTGTTTCTTTGTATGTTTTGTAATTTTGTTGTTGTTGAGAACTCGTCATTCTGGATATAGTGTGGTAACTCTGAAAATCTGATTTCCCACTCAGGAATTGCCATTGTTACTTGATGAAAGCTTCAGTCATCTGTTTAGTGACTTTTCCCAAACTATATTTGCAGAGTGTATACTCCAGTTATATGTGGTCACTGAGTTCCATTTTTCATACACACATCCAAAGGTGCATAGGACCTTAAAGCTGCTGATGCAAGAGGGCCATAGCCAGAGGGCCAAAACCATGGCAGTATCTGAACTGGTCCCTCAGGGCACTATCAGGCTTAACCAACTATGCAAACAGTGCAACCAGACAGCCACTCTAGGAATGGCGAAACTATCCCACTACTGCCTGGGGCTGAGGAATGCAGGATGTTAGTGGATTTTGCACATGAGCTTCATCTGGAAAAGATAAGCAGCCTTTTTTAATCAAGCACTCCCCTGGTTGATTTAAGTGTTAGATCAGGCTTCAAAACAGTTTATTCCAATTACTCTTTCCAGTTGTTGTTTTGGTAGAGGGACCGACATCTATAGTATCCTATTCTGCCATTTTGAGAGGGAAATGAATTTTCAACAGCATAGTCTCATTGCTGGGGGTGCTCATTGCTTCTGGGCTGATCATTATTTCTAGACCCATTCAGTAGACACAGCTCTGAAATGTGTCAAAGATGTTTATTAGGAACTTTAAAAAGTGAATGTTCAGGGGAACTCTCTCATTTCATTTAAAAAATTTTGATAAATATAAATCTTGTAGTAAACAGTTTTGCAGAATGTAAGATTGCATTATAGGAAATATACTTAATTCTTTTCCATCTGATCATAAATGCAGAAAGCTAGAATGTGAATGTCTTGTTCATTAATATACCTTGTATCCAACAAATGTATGTTTAACAGATATTTGAATAAGTAAGGGTAAACTTGATAATATAAATAAAATCTTAATCATACTTGGGCTGTATTGGGTGTTAGGAAATGGTAGCTTTTTAAAATGGCTTTATATATTTATTTATTTTCTAGGTGTAAAATATATTTTGACTTTTTTTTTTTTCTTCTCTTTTTTCCCTTCAATTTTCATTATAGAATTGAGGAAGATGCTCCAGCTCCTTCTACCTCTGCAGATAAAGTGGAGAGGTAAGCTTGTTTACATGGAACAATTAGATTCATATCTGAAACATAAATTAACTGTATAAGTTGAGAACTATTAGTTTCATTATTTTTAATAGATAATAAATAAACTGGACATAAAGGTACTTGTCTGTAATTTAACGTGTAGAAACCTGATAACAACCTGTTCAGGGTTTTCTTTTTTGCATTTAATTAGAATTGAAAGTTATCTAGTTTTGCTGCTTGATGAGTATACCACATGCCTGACAAATGTTTACCCATCCTATCTTTGTATACTTCTCATTTGGATCTCTATTTTGTAAGGCTACCATTTTCAATTTTGTAACTATTCTAGTTATTAAGTTTTATATCAAGCCCACATCTGTTTCCTCGTAACTTCTCCATCTTGGTGTGACCATATGGTTCTTAACTAGAGGTAAGCATAACGATAAGTAAAAAGCTCTTCCAACAGGACGATTATAGATTCTGTTTTTTAAGTTTGAGGTATGGTTCAGGTTTGTGTGTTTTGGAAAAGCTTCTTTATGATTCTTAAGCTCACTTGGGTTGAAAATCATTGTTCCAGATTCTGTTTAATCCTTCTGCATAGTTTCCTTCATCTGTTTTCTAAGTGTCCTTAAGTTTTGTTTTGTTTTGTTTGGATGTTTTTCATGATGTAGTCTTAAATTCCCTTATCATCTTGATTATTTAAAATATATCCTCTAGAAATAATATATCTAATGATTTGAGTCAGTCTTGTTTTTGAGTGCAATAAGTACTACTCTAGATTGGTCCTACACAGATACACTTTGGTATATCTCAAAGTTACACCTAGTCTATTTTAGAAGGTTACTGATAGAGTATACTATAGTATTTAAGTTTCTGGACTCAGTATAAGGCATAAAGGTAGGTAGGCTACCTGATCCTCACAACACAGCGTTGTTATGTAGTTATCAATATTATAAACAATTATTTTTAGAGAAGCGTAGATTCTGAAAGGAACATGAAGGATAGTTGGAAAAAGTATGACTAATTTCATTATAAATTCACATCCACTACCATCGAGTGAGTTTTTAGTACTGCATAGCAGTCTTACCACATTCCCTGGTCAAGTCATTTTCCTGTTCTGCTGTGCAACTTTTTCGTAACATTTTCTTATAAAACATTTAACACTATCTCTCCTGTTGGTCTTACTTGATGATTTTACTTTGTTTTAGTTCAGTGAAATAAATAATAGGAAGAGAAATTTTACAACATCCCCAACATAAATCTGTACCCATATAGTCTCCCCTTTGGGATGTCTGTTCCTGCTTACTCAGCAGTTCTTAAAGTGTTGTTTGGATATCCTTGGGGTCCTTGAGACCCTGTCAGAAGTTTTGTGAGTTCGAAAGATTTTCTTAATAATAAAGACTATTTGTTTCTGTCACCGTGTTGACATTGAAAATAATGGTACAAAACCAATGGTTGGGAAACCTGCTGCCCTCTTACCATAAATCAAGACAGTAGCACCAAACAGTGCTAGTATGTGTTAGTATGTGTTCTACCACTCACCCACAGTCAAAAAATCACCAGACTTACTTAGGAATGTCTCTGATGAAGCAGTTTATTCTCATGCCTTGACTACGTGGCTTTTTAATATTCTGTGTGACTGTGGTGAAATGAGTTCCTTTATGTGGCCTTTTGCCTTGGTTCTTTGAGAAAACTTGAGAGATTTTTCCCCTAATCCCTGAGGAGTTACCTTTACCCTAGTTTTCTATCCCAGAGGGTTTGTTACCTTTGTCCAGGTTGATTGACATTTCCTTGATAAGTTGTAAATAGCTTGATTGTTTGATACTTTTTGCTGTTCCTGGGCTGCTGCCTGCCCTGTAATTTATTTTACATACCTTGCAGGGATTGGTCAATAGGTCATGCAAATGAAGTGACTATACCCTACAAGGTGATTGGACAGTTTGCTATGCAAATGAAGTGACTAGCCTACTGAGGGGATTGGTCCATTAGTGGCCGTACTAGGGGGAAGGCCATGCCTTGAAATTGACAAGGAATTTGCTTACATAGTGAAACCTGTGAGAGCCAGAACCAGATGGGACTGCCTTGTTTTTCTGGGCCTTGCAAGTTTTCTGCCTTTGACAGGTTGCAAGTCTTTACCACTTTTCTATCGTTCATTTTAGTGGAAAATATTTGAGTTTTCCTTCTCTGACAGGTTTCCACAAAACACAGAGTCCGACTTTCACAGGTTTTACTGTATAAGCAGCCATTCCCATAGAGGTTTCAGAAAGGCAGGAGAGGCAAGAAGAGAGAAGATTCAAGAGAGAGAGGAGGTGAGGAAGCTCCTAAAAGAGGTGTAACACAGGTCAAGGGCTCTAACACTGAAGACAGCGAGAGGCTTGGAAGAGGTCTTATGGCAGAGCTGGTGGCAACAGACCCGGAAGGAGCCATGCAGCAGAGCTGGTGAAGGCAGAAACTTGCTGCTAGGAATGCAAGACAACTGAATAAAGCTGCTACACTGGCTATCAGCTGGGTCAGTTAGCAGCAGGGAGGCTGAAGTCAGAGAGGTCTGCATGACTGAGGGGGGCATACAGGGCCAAGAGGCCTGTCCTGAGGGGGCTGAGAGGAAGACCACACGGCTGAGAGGGGGCATGCACAGCAGAGAGAAGGGCCTGCTTACTTGTCCACCTGAGAGGAGCTGAGAGAGCTGTCCTGCACTGAAGAAGGGAGGGATGTGCTCTCCACTTTGAAAGAGATGTACTCTCCACCTTAGGGGGTGGAGATTGCTTCCAAATTGTGCTTACACGTGTCCTGATCCTGAGTTGTAGCCTGTTGATCCTGATCATCCTGAGTTCTTACTCCATTACTTTCTTAAAACTGTTTAACTGTAAGTATGGTCTGTGAGTTCTCTGTGGCTACTGCAATGAATTATTGAACTCAGCAGAGAAGTAGAGTGCTGTGGATGGCAGGGTGGCGGTTGGTGTTGGAAATGGTAAAGAAGTTGGAAAGTAGAGGTAAGTATGTCTGACCTCCACCTCATAGGAATCAGTTTCGGGCTGATGATTTTGATTCTCATAATCCCCACAGAAGTTAAAGATTCTGACGTTACCACTACTGTTACCACATTACAGTGACAAAATGGAAAGTATGGATTAAGTACTTCTGTATGCTGAATTAGGTATGATGGTTGTCTTGAGGAAAAGCAGTTGTGCGATTGAGTTAAGAGTTGAAATAGCCACTTTTTTCATGGAACTTTAAGTTTACTTAGAAGAATGACCACCAAACTGTAGTTGTTCAGACTTGAGTATTTGACAGAAATTTTCTCCAAATTGAGTAAAATGAGCTTGTCATTTTAAGAATAACTGATAGTACCTGTTGCCAGTGATCAAATTTGAGCTTTTAAGCAAAAGTTAAGATTTTTGAAAAGTTGCGTTGACCACTGTGAGCTTGACAGTGTTCCATTCTGATGAAATTGGTGATTTTAATGTGTTTTTTTTTGTTATAAGGAGATCTGTCAACATGAAAGATTTGTGTAAATTAGTGAACCAGTATTTTCTTTCTCTTTTGTTCCAGACGAGTAGAGAGCAATAGTTGTGTCTTAGATGTAAATGTTTAATATATTTTTAACAATGTAATTGTGTATGTTTACCATAATCATATATATGTATTTTAAAGATAAAGGTACTGGCTTTTCAAGCTGCCACCGCCAGGTGAAACTGCCGCTGCAATAGGGCCAAAACCATGGCAACTGTCTGCACCAGTTTTCAGACCAACCCAACTATGCAAACTGCATCCCCAAATCCTTAGAAGACACGGTCCCCACTGCCCACCCAGGCACCAGCCAGCTGCTCTAGGGATATGGCTGGGCTGAGGAACGAAGGATGGTAGCCAGTTAGCACATGTGGCTTATCTAGGTTGGTTTCCCTTTATCAAGCATTCCCCTGGTTAATGTAAGTGTCAGATCAGGTTCTAGAGGTCCAAAAGGGTTGATTCCAGTTGTTCTTCCCAATACAATTGTTGTTTTGGTAAAGTTAGCGACCTCTAGAGCATCATACTTAGCCATCTTGCCTGATGTCACTGTTGAATATTAACTTATATATTTAACTACGTAGTTACCTTTCCCAGTGATCTTTATTTCTTTGAGTTGCCATCTCTAGTGTGTTTTCCGCCTGAAGGACTCCCTTTAGCATATCTTGTAGGACTTTTTTTGCATCTGGATATCTAATTACTCCAGTACCATTTGTTGAAAAGATTATCCTTTCCCCTTTGAATTGCTTTGGCATCTTTGTTGAAATTTATATTGACCATACAAGTTTTTTATTCTAATCTGTTCCATTTGATGTATTTGCCTTTGATACTAAGACTACATTGTCTCGATCTTGAAATCACTGGCTCTTGTCGTATTTACCCTAATGTTTCTCTTGTTTTCTTGTGGTAGACGTGTTTGTATAAATATGAAACATAACGAAACATTTGCCATTTCAAGGTTTTTTACATGTATAATTCAGTGACAGTAAGTACATTCATCATGTTGTGCAGCCATCCCCACTATTTCCAAATTTTTTCATCACCCTTAACATGCTCGGTGCCCCCTAAACAATGGTTCTCTCTTTCCCCATTACTTTTTCCTGCCTCATGTAACTACTCCCACAGGTTTTCTTGATTCAGTTTTCCTTTTATCCAGTACAACTTGCTATATGAATTCATGGTTCCCTTTTTGTTGCTTAATTAACAAATATTTACAGTACATACAATATAGGCCTTGTGAGCAAATAATCCTTTAAGAGAAAATATTCTAGTCAAGCTTCTGAGAATGTTGCCTTTGAGATTTTTCTTGGTTTTGCAGTGATAAGTTAAGTGTGAGTTTGCTTGGCCTTGACGGAGTAGTCCAAAGAGTTAAAAAGAGAAACTAAGTATTATGGTTTAAGTGTAGTAAGTGTTCAAAAAATGTTGATTAAACAGGGTTTGACACTTCACAAAATTCTTTTTCTTGCAGTTTGGATGTGGATAGTGAAGCTAAGAAACTACTGGGTTTAGGACAGAAACATCTGGTGATGGGGGATATTCCAGCAGCTGTCAATGCATTCCAGGAAGCTGCTAGTCTTTTGTAAGTATTGTGTGTTTTTCTATGATATGATATTAAGTTCTTAATAAGCCTTGAATTATAAAAAGTTGTTTTATGATGAAAAAGAATGAAGAGCAAGAGTTTTAAAAGATTGGATTGTTTTTCATGTAGGAGTTTATTCTTGTTACTGTACCTGAAATCTCAGTATCACTGAGCAATTTCAGCCTTTGATTTTTCTAAGGTAATTTTCCCCCTAATCGCCACTAATTTGAGTTTGTCCTGATTTTATCACTGGGAGTATCCTGGGAAGCCCCTCAGTCCCAAGCAGGCTGTGATGATTGGTCACACTATTGCTAATGGTATTATATTAGCACATAATTTTTCATACATTCTTAGCACCTTTGATCTGTTGTTGCCACTGCTTTGGAAGTTGGCAAGCTACCACCAGGAGGCCACACATTACCTGTATTTTGGGGCAGCAGGTAGCTTTAGTGCCTCAAAGGCATAAAAGTGATTTCTTTACCTTTCCCCTATGATTTGAGCTAGTTTTATTACCAATAACAATTGATGGTCAGTCATGTTTCCTAATTAACTGATTTCATTATATACAGTTAAAGAAATTTCCTTATAAATAAGTGCTTTTAATGAAACATTTATGGTTTTCAGGCTTAGGGCTCACTATGATTAAAAGCCTCTGGCGTCTTCATTCCTTCTGTTCAGTCAGGGTCATATCAGTTCATTCTTTTTCCAACCCAACTCCTTTTCCTAATCTCCAGAACATAATCTTATTTCTGAGTATCTACAGTAATTTCTTGTCTCTTCCTTGCCTCTTACACCTGGACTTCATAAACTGAGTCTCTGGTGTGCTAGGGGTGGAGCTCAAATTTTACCTGAGGCTAAGTACTTACAGCATTTTTATATTAAAGCACATGGTTATTCTAGAATGTAAAATGTATCTAAGGGGATGAGAACACTTCCTAGGCTACTCCTCCCAGATATCTGGAAAGGTCAGTATTTTCATTGTCTTGCCATTTATGGTATGTAGGAGGAAAATTTGAGAAGCGGTATTCTAATCTAGTAACTATCCTTAAAAACATGACCGTCATCATGATTCTTCCTGCTTAATTTCTGTAAGTGATTCTTACTATATTCTTAGGCAACTAGTACTTGACTTTGCATGACTTTTGCCAGTTCTTCACTCTGAAAGCTGGTCTCCTTTCTCTACCTAGAGAGCTACCTCTTCCTTCCCATTTATCACACTTGTGTAATTTCTTCCCTCCCTCTTGCCTATCTAGGCGTTAATGGCTAAAACTTATATATGGTGCTTATTGCATTTCTAGACTCTGCTTTAAATGTTGTTACATACATTAACTCATTTAGTTCTTACAAAAGCTCTTTGAACAATTATTAATTTCTATTTTACAGATGTGGAAACTAAGGCACTGTGCAGTTAAGTAACATATTTAAGGTTATACAGCTAGTTAAGTGGCAGAGGTGGGGTTTGAACTCAGGCAGTCTGGTTCCAGAGATCATGCTCTTAACCGTATATTGTGCTGCCTTTCCACAGACCTTACTTATCCTCTAGAGTCCAGTCAAAGGTCCTCTATTCTGGCCCACACTGACACCTCCCCTCCCTGATCTTCTAGCAGGAAGAATGCCTATTTTAGTGTAGTTGGCTGTTAGAGTATATACTAACTCTGGCGAATTGGTGTTATTTAGAATATATATCGTAAATAGATGAAGAACATGCAACATCAACTTTGCATTGTTTCTAAAAGTCCCTTTGACCTTGACATGAAAGCCAGAGGGAATATTGGTTTCATAGAAGGATTGTTTTAATAGAAGTGTCATTTTCTAATTAAAGAACTGGAAATAAATGTTTTAGATTAGATGTTAATTCAGATCTTAGATGTTTGTTCTCTTTGTAGAGGTAAAAAGTATGGAGAAACAGCTAATGAATGTGGAGAAGCCTTCTTTTTCTATGGGAAATCGCTTCTGGAGTTGGCAAGGTATGTCTTTGAAGGCTCAGTTTATAGGTAGGATGTTGTGTATCACCTTGACCCAAACCAAACCAAACCCGGTGCTGTCAAGTCCATTCCGACTCATAGTGACCCTATAGGACAGAGTAGAACTTCCCCATGGGGTTTCCCAGGAGCACCTGGTAGATTCAAACTGCTGACCTTTTGGTTAGCAGCTGAACTCTTAACCACTACGCCACCAGGGTTTCCATGTGTATCACCTTGATGGTCTCTTAGAAAACTTAAGTTTTATGCTAAGATGTACTAGTTTTGAGATTTCACATGAGCTAACCAAAACCCACTGCCATCGAGTAGATTCTGACTCATAGTGACCCTATAGGATAGAGTAGAACTGTCCCATTGGGTTTCCAAGGCTAGTGGGTTCGAACCACCAACCTTTCGGTTATCAGCCAAGCACTTTAACCACTGAGCCACCAGGGCTCCTACATGAGCTATGTAAGCCTGGTTTTACTAAGGGGGTTTTGAAGAATCGTGAAATTGTTGTGAGTAGCTCTTGATGCAAAGAGTAAAGTTATATTTAAGTTTTGACTTTTGGGGTCTTTAGAAGGGAAGATCTTTCCACTAGTGAATGGTCCATTGAGTAAAGCCCAACATAGAATCTTTAAAAGCAGTCTCAGCTAGCTTATAAAATAATCACCTTTAACAAGGACTGAATGAAGGACAATTTCAGTGTACTATGTGAGAATATCTAGCAAATAAAACTCATAGTCTTACTAGTAGAAAATTGTTGGATATTTTCCACCATAATCTACTAACCAGAATAAACTATATTGAGGGCACACAAGCTATAAATAATCAGTCATCTATTTAATCTCTGTTCTAGTAAATTTTGTAATCTTGTAAATCTTATGGAGCCATAAGAATTTTCCCAGAATGTTATTGGCTATATAGAAAAGTGTGTGTAGATAAAAAGTTGGGAAAATATAGCCCTATTGTAAAGTGAATACATGCGGGGCTTGTTGATTTGGTAAGAGTCATCAGTGGTTTTCATGTGGCTGGATAAGGGAAGGGATATGCTTGTTTCTTTCAGTGCTCTTTTGATCATTGCTTTTCTCCCATGAGTACTTAAACAGTTTATATTTCCTGCATTTGCTTCCTATTCTACTGCTCCATAAATTTACAATTTCTGTCTTAATGAAAAATTGTTTCTATCATACCTTTGTTGTTTTCTTCTTTTGTTCTCCTAGAATGGAGAATGGTGTGTTGGGAAATGCCCTGGAAGGTGTGCATGTGGAAGAGGAGGAAGGAGGCAAAACAGAAGACGAATCTTTGGTAGAAAATAATGATAACATAGATGGTACGTGGAGTTGCATGTGGCATTCAAGGGATGCGACATATACTGCTTGTGTACAAGTGATGGAAATAGGGCTCTCCTTGCCTTGGATGGTCTCTCCCAAGATGCCTGTGATGACACCTGCGTCTGGTAGAGATCGCAGTGGGGGTCAGTCAACTACTGAAACTGACAGTGAGTTTTTGTAAGAGGACAGTTTATTTTCTCAGACAAATCTGGTTAATTTAAATTGATGTTCCAAATATCACTACAACCTTAAATATTTTTCTGATGCAAATTTTTTAAGTCCATGTAGTTCAGTTGTTTTAATAGCAATATTTATAGAGACCTTTTACATTTTAGTGTCTAAGAAAGTTAAATGTTAATTTTTATGCTGAGTTTGGCTATTAGAGATTTACGTATCACGTGGGGGTCTGTAATGTTTAGAGGAAAAGGAAAAGCTTGGCATTTCTTACCTAATTGATACTCAGAATGCTCAAGTAAAACTATCTCATTTAAGGAATTTGTGTGTGTTTTTTTTAATAAGTTGCTCTGCTAGCTGGTACTCTTCTTTTTGCTTTCTCAAGGGGGCAGATAATATTTAAGCCATCTGCTAAATCTTAACAAGCCAGGCTGTTTGAGGGCTTAAAGGGAATGTATTTTTAGTTTCCATTTATGCCTTTATCATTAAACTCGAAGACATGTTTATGCTTCATGTTCTTTAACCATGTAGAGGAAGCAAGGGAAGAGTTGAGAGAACAGGTTTATGACGCGATGGGAGAAAAAGAAGCAGCCAAAAAAACAGAAGACAAATCTTTGGTAAAGCCTGAAACTGATAAAGAACAAGAGACTGAAACAGAGAAGAGTGGAAGAGAAGATATGGATTTAAGTGAGCCTACAGAGGAGCTACGGGCAACCCCAGATCAGTTAACTGACATCACCAAAGAGGCAAAAGGAGTGGCAGCACCAGGACTGAATGAAGCAGAGGTCACTTCTGAGAAGCCAGAACAGGAAGCACCAGATGCTGAGGAAGGAAAATCAGTACCTGGAACACACATCCAGGAAGAAGAGCACAGAGAAAAAGGAGGTCAGGAGAAGCAGGGAGAGGTAATTGTGAGCATGGAGGAAAAGCCTAAAGAAGCTTCAGAAGAACAGTCTGTTGCGACTCTAGAAGAGCAGGGCTCCGCAGTGGAGGTAGAAGCAGAGCCTGGAGACCCGACAGTCAAGCCATTGGATTTGGGTGGGGAAGAGCCAAATGAACAGGTAGCTACCTCTGAAAATGAGCCAGGAAATGTTGTTCTTGAGGAGCAGTTTGTAGGGCAAGAAGTGCCTCTTGCTGAGGAGTCACCAGAGGTGGGAACAGAGGCTGCAGAGGCTGGATCAGAAGTCTCTGAGAAGCCTGGGCAGGAAGTCAAAGTTCCTCCAAAGGATGGTGCAGTCAGTGGACTTTCAGCTGCAGGAGACCAGACTCCTTTCAAACCACAGATGTCTGCAGAAGGACCAACAGAAGCAAAAGATGGCTCAGGAGTAGAGAAGGTCAGGGCAGAGCTGGTTCCTAGCCAGGTGGAAACTAAACTGTCTGTAGAAGAGTCTGAGGCAGCTGGAGATGGGGTTGAGACCAGGGTAGCCCAGGGGGCTACTGAGAAATCGCCTGAAGACAAATTTAAGATAGCTGCTAATGAAGAGACCCAAGAGAGAGAAGAACAGATGAAAGAGGGTGAAGGTAACCGGGATATATGCAAGAGCTGCAGTGGGTGGAGTACATTCTGGATTTGGCTCACTAATCATGGGTAAAAGTCAGCCTTCCATTCAGGATTTTCCGTCTGCCTTTGGATTAGGAAAGGGTTAAGTGAAAATGGGGATAGTTTAAGAGAAGGTTTTGATAAGTTGAGAAAGTTAAGTCAAAAGCAGCAAGTCCTTAGCTGGCTTAAAATCTAATGCTTTTACTAACTGCAAAATAGGCTTTCTCTGTGATTTCTGAGACTTGGCTAGCTATCAGTAACTTGTTGCACCACACTAGCCAATAAAGAGGGATGAAAAAGGTGGATGAGGGGTATGAAGTAGGGAAAGAGTGAGCGAGGCTGGCAGAGAATGCTGAATGGATGTTCACTTGCATGCCTCTGGATTTTTTAATTTACTGTTCACATGGTTCCTTTTTTCTGCTTTTTAGGAAGCAGGAACAGCAGTAGAATCCACTGAATTGGTACACTTAAGCAGGCATGCCATTTAAATGAGGCACTTTACCCTGGAATGTTCTATCAGCAGACTTAAAGAATTCTGATGCCCTGTCTACCCTTAGTCTTCAAAAAATGTTTAGAGGCTTATACATATTAATTCAAAAAGCAAAAAAAAAAAAAAACGTAAAAAAAATTTTAAAACCAAAAAAACTTTAGACATTAGCCATCTTGCTCCTTTCCCCCCTCATTTCACGGTTGCTTTGGCTGCTAAACTGAATTTTTTATTACTTAGAACATTATAAACTATGAATGCTTTGCATAGTACAGTTGTTCCTATTGTGATTCAGTTTCATCAGTTAGTAATTTTATAATTGGCAAGTCTGACTTGTGTTATCATTTGAGGATTCTACTGTATAAGGTTCATCTAACATTGGCATTAATAACCACAGGTATATTCCCATTAATTGTTATTACTTTGTATAACTGCCAGACTACTTCAAGAGTTCTCTTGAGTTTTAGATTTTCAAAGAACCATCATTAATATTTGCAGCTTATTTCGGTAACCTTCCTTCTACCTGTGTGCAGGTCCCTGAACTCCAGCCACCACAAGCATGGTAACCAGAAGTGAATTGGCTAAATGGTAGCACCATTATGCTTATTTATTATAAGGCTTTTAGCAATTCTTTATGGAAAAAGCACAGAAGTGAATTCTTTTTTTTTTTTTGAACTCCTATGTCTCGATTTAATCATATGAGCAAGAAGTAATAAGCTCTGGCTGGCTAAGTTGGACCTTTAATGATAAGCAAAAGCTGAGATGTCATATTTCCCCACAGTTTGTTCAAAAACTATTCAGTTGTATGACAGGTAACATTGTTAGAGCTCTCTCATATATATTGCTTCTGATTCCAAAACAACACTGTGATAGGTAGTATTATTCCGGTTATACAGATGAGATTGAGGCTTAGAGATTATGTGACTTTTTGAGGTCAAAAAGTAAGACATAGTTCTAGAATCCAAACCTAGATCTCACATTGAGTAGGGCAGCTTTTATGCCCTCCCATTACCTACCTTGCATGAGAAATTTCCTGGTTACTCATTTTTAAGATCATTTATAAAATCGTCAGTCATGTCACATTTTTTTGTGTTGTGTATCAGGTACTTTTTTCCGTATTTTACAAATGAAGTAACCGCAGAAAGCGGTTAAGTTGCCCTGATTACGTGGCGAGTAAAGGGAGGGCTGGGCTACCCAGATAGTTTGGCTCCAGAGGCCAGGCTGTTACTTTCTGTGTTTTATTATTCTTTACATGGAACACCAGCCTGCAGAAATCTTTTTCTGTAGATTTAGCAAGTAATTTTTTCTTCACTTAAAAATCAAAACCCCATTTCCTACCACCCCTTGGGTTTTTGTGATCTGTTGGGCTCTAACAAAGATAATTTGCATGCTGTTTGCTATTGTCAACACTAGATGTAATTGATAAATGAACAAAATTCTAAAATTAGGGCATGAAGAATGGCCACGCTCAGGTGGACTATCCCAGCCAACCTGTAGTTCCCTTTTTCTAAAGAATTGTAATAGGTATACCACAAAAATATTCTACTTTTAAAGAAGCCTGGGAAATACTGGGTTTAATATATTTCTTTACTGAGGACATCAGGGCATTCCCATTAATACCTGGATATATGTTACCAGGTTGGGAAGTTCTGTTTTAAAATAATGGCTTTCTTGATAACCTAGCTCCCTCTTCACCATTCCATGAAGGTAGTGCAGGTTCCTCAGGAGAAACCAGTATTCTTAGACCGTTGTAAGAATTTTAATTTAAATATCTGGTGGAAAATTCCAGTTAGATATTTTATGCCAAATTAGATGTCATTTTCTAGCATTCTGATATAATGAGTAGGAACAGATTAGATACCAGATAATTAAGAAGCATATAGAATTATGATTTAATGAATATTTTGTCTTTAATTTTTCCTGCAAATTGGCAAGATCCAGTGTTAAACTTTTTTTTTTTTTTTTTTAGTCTAAGAAATACCTGTCTTAGTTATCTAGTGCTGCGATAACAGAAATACCACCAGTAGAAGTTTATTGTCTCAAAATCTAGTAGGCGAGAAGTCTGAATTCAGGGTGCCAGCTCCAGGGAAAGGCTTTCTCTCTCTATCGGCTCTGGAGGATGGTCCTTGTCATCAGTCTTCCCCTGGTCTAGGAGCTTCTCAGTACAGGGACCCTGGGTCCAGAGGACGCGCTCTGCTCCCGGCACTACTTGCCTGGTGGTAATGAGGTCCCCTGTCTCTCTGCTCGCTTCTGTCTTTCATATCTCAAAAGAGATTGACTTAAGACACAACCTAATCTTGCAGATTAAGTCCTACCTCATTAACATAACTGCCTCTAATCCTGCCTCATTAACATCATAGAGGTAGGATTTACAACACATAGGAAAATCACATCAAATGACAGAATGGTGGGCAGTCACACAGTACTGGGAATCATGGCCCAGCCAAGTTGACTCATTTTGGGGGGACATGATTCAATCCATAACAATACCTATATCTACCTCAGCCATCTTGCACACTCTTCTGGAGGGTGGGCTTCATTGATAGGGTCTATAAAACTACCCATTTTGTCCGCAAACCACTTGTTGGAATTTGGACATGAAGAGATAATGACATGGTGTGGTGGTAGCTGTTTATATTTCAGAAGCACTGAATTACATAGTCAGCAAAAGAAAAATGAGCCACCTGATAAAAGGGGGTTTGTTTGTTATAGAGGTTAATAGCTCTTATAGGACTTACTAGTTTGTCTCAAGATTTTTAACATATGGGAATTAGTTGTCTTTGCCTTTTCCCCATCTTAAAGCAGTATTGGTAGGCAGGAAAAGTCCTTAAACTTGGCTTCATGGCCCAAGGCCTAACTGCCATACTTATATTCCCATATGGGGCTCTGGTGGCACAGTGGTTGAGAGATTGGCTGCTAACCAAAAGTTCGGCAGTTCGAATCCACCAGCCGCTTCTTAGAAACCCTATTGGGCAGTTCTGCTCTGTCCTGTAGGGTTGCTATGAGTTAGAATCAACTGGCCGGCAACGGGTTATATTCCCATAAAGATAGTTAGGATACAGTATTTGAGCTCCTTTGCTGGTGTCAAAAATGCTTAATGAAAGATGCCAGAGGTAGGCACATTCAAAAAAATTCATGCAGTGTTTGTACTAACAAAAAGCCCATTTTAATCACTTGACATTAAAATGAAAGTGATTAAAATTTTAAGCTATCTTATCACTGAGAGTGTACCAATTAAGTGCAGAGCTGTTTATCAGCAGCCTGTCCTTACAGGCATTTGACTTGTGAGTGTATGTCAGTATGGTGAAATATAGTGTTGACATGGCTGCAAGTTTAAAAGGAATCATTAACAAGGTACCTGAGTAAAATAACTTGGGTACTGCTCACTCAAATTCTGTACATGCTAGGAGCTGGCTGGAGTCTGTGGCATGCTCATTGGTGAGAGTTGGTAGGACTATGCTTGTCTCTTCACAGCACTGTGTGGGAAAGCTAGCCTCTTGAGCATTCTTGCTCTGAGCGGACGAGAGTACTTTTGGTATTTCTCAGCTTTGTCAGTTAAGAGTGGTTTAAAGATACCAGGAACATTGGCGGAGGCCTCCACTTGCATCTGGCTTTCCGGCTATATGCATAGGAGCTTTCACTTAGTGAACAAGAGGCAGTAGCCAGTCTGGCTTGATCTAAAAGATTCAGATCGATCTTTATTAAGAGAAATACTTAGCCTTTTGATTGCAGAAGGTCTGACCCATAGACTATAAGATTATACACATTCTAAGTCTATCTATATTAGACTAACCACTGACTTGATCCAGTTCAAATGTTAACTGACTTGGGTTAGCGTCTGGTCTGCCCTACCTCAGACTATTGACAGATGTTTGATTCAGACTCTTGACTAGTCAAAAAATATCCTTATTTGTATTCTCAATACTGAGGAATTTTTGCTTGCAGAAACCGAAGGCTCAGAAGAGGAGGATAAAGAAAATGACAAGGCCGAAGAAATGCCAAATGATTCAGTTCTTGAAAATAAGGTAAGTTCTTACTCATTTAGTACCATTATCTGCTTTCTTATTGTAGGACTGTGAGTACTAGTTTAGGTGGGAATATTATAGATAGCTATTTCTTGGTTACAGATAGGGGATCCTTTATTTATATATATAAAACTATGCCTAGAATGGACAGATCCATTTCATCCCAGCGGGTCTTGTCTGATAGGGCAGATTTATATCTCACTGATGTGTGGATGGTAAGGTGATAATTTAGTATAGAAACTTCTTAGGGACCTTTTTAGAGGAGAAAGTCTGAAATTTGGATCCTATATCAGGTGTTTTTTTTTAAACCATACTAAATTATATGTTGGAAACCGTCTTGGGCAATTCTACTCTGTCCTTTAGGGTTGCTGTGAGTCAAAATCAACTTGACGGGAACAGTGTGTGTGTGTGTGTGTGTGTGTAAATTATATGTTGAAGTTTGTATAATCTAAAGAGGCCTTTCTTATACTTCTGCCTAATACCAATAATTTGGATATACTTTAGTCTCTTCAAGAAAATGAAGAGGAGGAGATTGGGAACCTAGAGCTTGCCTGGGATATGCTGGATTTAGCAAAGATCATTTTTAAAAGGTAAAACTCTTCATGCTTTTAGACGCAGGTTGGGAGCTTGGTGGTTGAAAATAGTTAGGATTAAACACTTGCTGTTACGGTTTCTGATCGACTTTTCTTCTTTTAGGCAAGAAACAAAAGAAGCTCAGCTTTATGCTGCACAGGCACATCTTAAACTTGGAGAAGTTAGCGTTGAATCTGGTAATACATTAAAAAAATTTCCTCTCCTAATTTCCCCTTTCCCCCTAGTTCTTCTTCTAATAAATTCCTTAAAATCCAGCTCGATGATCATAAGTTCTGTGCTTTAAAAGGACAGTAGGTTCATTATATAGTCCCTAGTACAATGAACTATCCTTCTAAAACATACTTTACTGAAAGTCTCTAAGTTAGTTTTGTTAGTTATTTTGATATTTTTTATAGTTAAGTGTCCTGGAGATGCTACAAAGAAAAATGAAATGGAAGACCAGGGAGCATTCTTGCAGAATGGGTCTGAAATTTGGAAGTACTTTATATTAAATGCTGTTATTTACTTGCTGTCCCTTTTCCTTTTATTTTAGAGAACTACGTGCAAGCTGTGGAGGAGTTCCAGGCTTGCCTAAACCTGCAAGAGCAGTACCTAGAAGCCCACGATCGCCTCCTTGCGGAGACTCACTATCAGCTAGGCTTGGCCTATGGGTACAACTCTCAGTATGACGAGGCAGTGGCACAGTTCAGCAAATCTATTGAAGTCATTGAGAAGAGAATGGGTGAGTGAGCACTAGCTGTTTCGTGGTGATCTTGGTGGATCCAGCTACTGACAAGGTAAAAAAAAAAAAAAAAAAAAAAAAGATCCTTTTGTAGTAAACTGTTACTGATCACTTTAGCCTGTTCTTTGTAGCCGTACTAAATGAGGAGAAGAAGGAGGCTGAAGGATCACCTACTGAATATGAGAAAGAAATTGAGGAGCTGAAGGAACTGCTACCTGAAATTAGAGAGAAGATAGAAGATGCAAAGGAGTCCCAGCGTAGTGGGAATGTAGCTGAATTGGCTTTGAAAGCTACTCTGGTTGGTTCAGTTTCCTTCTAACGTTTTGATAATAGCATGTTCGGTACCATTGAAGGCATCATGGTGTTAGTGTTCTCTTTGCTAGGAACTGTAGGCATGACTTTGGTTCCAGGGAGTTGGTGGTCAGAGGGAATGTGAAAGCTCATCTGATTATTCTATTGAATAGTACAGTGAATAAGAGAATACGCTTTGGAGCCAGACTGCCTGGATTTGAATTCCATCTTTACTATTTAGTATAGTGTGACCATGGGCACCTATGTTACTTATCATTTTTCTGCCTTAGTTGGCTGATCTGTAAAATGGGGATAATAGTACCTGGGTGTAAAATACTCTGATAGTAGTAATTGTTTCAACAAATGTAAGGTATTATTTCTATCTCTGAGAACTCCTACATAGATTAGTTGGCACTCGGAGGGCTTTGACCCTCGATTACCTGGCTCCGCTTTTGGCGGCTGGGATACTGGGGAGCTTTATACCCTGCAGGTAATGATAGGATACGGAGGGTTTAATTTAATATTTCAGTGTGCCTTTGCCGGGGGTGGGGGGTGTTAATGATCCTGTTACTATATGGATACCACTAGCATTTCAGGTCTTAATCAGTTGCTTAGATGGTGAGTACACTTGTAGGACTGTGGATGGCCTGGGTTCTATTCCCGGGACCCACTTGGGTTTGTCGTCTCTCACAGGTGGAGAGTTCTACTTCAGGTTTCACTTCTAGTGGAGGAGGCTCTTCAGTCTCCATGGTGGGTATTCAGGTGATTTTTGTCACTTAACATTAGGCCTTGAGTGATTGTCTCACATGTAGTTTGTCCACTGCTAACAAAGGCGTCCTTTTGCCAGATTGCCAGTAGAAAGCCAACAGATGGTGCTTCCTCATCAAACTGTGTGACTGATATTTCCCACCTTGTCAGGAAGAAGGTAAATCTGTACACAGTGGTTTCTTTTCTTCTACCCTTTTCCTAGTCTGCCTTTTATTGTTGTTCCCCAGTGATAAACGAGGAATACCTTTCTAAACACTTCTGATAGTGTAGTAAGCTGGTAAGCTGCAAACACTCACTGTGCAAGAGTGGTGAGGATATTTGTGTGAAGATAGTTTTCACTGCATACCTCTTCTAGCAGGTTCTGCTGGCCTCTCTCAGCCTAAGGACTGTTAGGAAAACTGCCGAGGACTGGCCAGGTGAGCCCCTCTGAGAGGCTGGCAGGTGTTCTTGGACAGTAGCTATTCAGCAGCAGACCTGCTGATACCTAAGCTGCTGTGAGTCTGCCTTCTGCCTGCTGTCACAGTAGTTCTCTGCTCTTGTAGAAGAGTCTTAACTCCTGCTTGGTTTCCGGATTCAGGTACAGGAGTTTGGTTACTGTTTAGATCTATTCCTTCCTCCCAGCCCACCAGCCTTTCCAGTAAGAAGGCTGAATGTGTATGTGTTGGGACAGACTGGTTGTTTCTGTAGAGTTCATACTGGCACCTGCCCCACTCATTACCCCTGTGGCTAGGGAGAGACCCTTAGAGCTGTGAGTCTTGCTATTCAGGATCTTTGCACCACAGAGGTTAAGGAAGTGTTTTGGAGTTAGATACATTGTTTTTTTTAAAAACATAAAGTATATTTGTGAAGCCTTCACAATTATATCTTTAGAGGAAACCAGAGGAAGAGAGCCCCCGGAAAGATGATGCAAAGAAAGCCAGACAAGAGCCGGAGGTGAATGGAAGCAGCGGGGATGCTGTCCCCAGTGGAAATGAAGTTTCAGAAAACATGCAGGAGGTGGGCAGTTAAGCAGGGCTTGGCCTCCTGTCTCACTTCCTTGTTGTCAGGGTCTGGGGAAATCCGTCCTCCCGAGTGCATGCTCCCCACTTTGAGCCTATTTGGATTGCTTGAGTGTAACCTTCATAAAAGCAATGAACAGAAAACAGGCAGTCTCATTGACAGATGGAACTGATGTACCACAGGTTCCCCTCTACTGAATGTCTGAGAAGGCACTTGACTGGCAAGACCATTGAGTCACTTCTGCTTGCTCCTTTCCATGTAATATATGAATACTGGCCCTGTCAGTAATGTGATAATTAATCACGGTCAAAGATTTCAGGAAATGGCCTAACACTTTGTGGCTGATTATGTCCTTCTGTTAGTGTAAGGAACAAAGCAGAGTTTGCAGGATCTGTGTTCACCCCTCTGACCCAGACCTGATTGGTTATGTAAAATGGAATGGCTTAAGCCAGGGTCACTTATGTCTAGGCTCCCTGTTTCTCTTTCAGGCCGAGAATAAGGCTGAAAGCCGGGCAGCAGTGGAGGGGACAGTGGAGGCCGGAGCTACAGTTGAAAGCACTGCATGTTAAGAGAGGGAGCAGACACTTCCTCCTGAGGGAAAGTTTTTTTGTATATAATGTATTTTTTCACTTTGGGGGGATTCTTTTTATATAACTTCAATAAAGATTGTAAGCAAAGGTTGAGGCTTTGTTGGTTTTTTTCTTAAAATATTGACTGTATCTGTGCCTTGGAGCACTCCAGGTTTTATATAGTGGCCAAAGGTATTCCCCCCGGCCCCGCCACCCCTTCTGTGCTGATCTCTGTGCTGGAAGTTTTAATCCCCAATTCCTGTCTGTGTAATGTACAGGTGATCAGATCAGGTATTGCTTTAGGCCCCTCATCTTCCAACGGTGCTATATTTTCCATTTTTAAATACCTGACTGAGCCCAGCTGTCTTGCAGACCTTCAGTGGTGCTGCCCCTGTATGGGGACTACAAAGACAAGACTTACTGAAGATCTTGCTGTTTGGTGCTGATCAAGGATGATGGACTTTGGCTGTTTGCTACAAGCAGCCTCCATTCAGGCCTTGGGTGATACCTGTCTTCTACCTAACTACCCAAATGGGGCTTTAATCCCACCTTGGAAAAAGAACTCTGAAGAAAACATTGGGGAAGTGATCTCTGAGGAAAACAGTTGGCCTATTTAATTGTAGAGAATTGAGTTCAATGGTGTGAAAGAGGCTGAAGGATTGTGATGGACACTTTGAATGTGGTTGAAAGAATCTTTGTGGGGAGGCTGGCTGGTTGTTACATTATCTTCTGTATAGAAAGGTTGAAATATATTATCCCTTGGAATTGTTACCCTCTCTGCAGTTTCGACTTCTCAAATAAACATGCTAAAAGGCTCCTGGTCTGGACTTGTGTTTAAAGATTTTACAGTGGGATGCTGGGCTGCTTGGAGCAGTTTAGTTTAGAATGTGGGGATTTTATTTAATCATTCTGACACCCACAGGGCTACTCTGCTGCTTAGGATAGACAGTAGGTTAAAATCTGCTGTTTTAACATCCTATGTTGAAGGCAGAGAGAGTCGTGCTGGACCCCCAAGTCAACCCCAGTTTTCAGCATTGATTTTTTTTTTTTGCTACTTAAAATGGAGTTTTTCTGGCCTGGTAATAGTGACTCATGGCTGCAGAATCTCTGGCTTATTCTGGCTTTGAACTTGCTTTCTGAAGATGCTCTTGTATGTATGTTCCAAGTCCTGAGACCTTGTTTTGGTCAGGCCAGTACAGTCATGACACAGTTGAGTCCCAGACCCTTGACCTCCTATGATTGACAGTGGGGTCTGGGGCTAGGACCAGTATCTAATTTTAGCTAGGTACCACATGTGACCCCACTTGGCAGAAATTTCATTGGGCTAGGGCTCTACCCTGAATCTGTAAATACAGAAGGCTACAGGAGCTTTGTATTTATGAGGAGCTTGAGTGTCTAGGAGGTTTCTTGGAGGGTGTTCCGAGGTGGAATTTGAATGAAGTGCAGCAATAAGAATGGCGTTAAGCAAAAGAACAGGTGGGAATGAGCTTATCAAGTTCCGTAAACTGGAATTAAAATACCCCATGTCACCTTGCAAAGAACTTCCTGTGTGCCAGATAGTATTGTAAATATGTGAGATACTCATTTAATCCTTAAACATCAATCTGTTTTATAAAAGAAAAACAAGCACAGAAAGGTCAAGTACTTACGGAAGGTGGTAAAACCTGTGGTTGGAACTCACATTTTGTGTTCCTAACAGCTATTTGACTCGACCTTGTGTTAGAACACAGAGTAATAAAGCCACAGGTCTGGGAACACAGCTCAGCCCAGGACTTAGTCTTGTGCATGTTAAGACAGTCATACCTACGTTTATCATCTGGGCTTAGAAACCCAGCAAGGGTGGGACAAAGCTGTGGTGAGGACCCAAACTCTAATCTCTGTCTTTGACTCCAGTGAGGGACTCCTCTGCAGGAGGTGGAGGATCAGCAAAGCCAGCTGAGGGGGCGAGGGAGCTGCCTTCCAGTGATGAGCTGGACATCTGTGGAGTTGGGAAAGGCAGGTCCTCAGCAAGACCGTAGAGGTTAGGAGCACAGGTTTTGGCGTCACACTACCTTAATTTGATCCTGTCTTGACTACTTACTGTGAACCTACTTAAAACCCATTTGTGCCTTGATTTCCTCATCTGTTTATAATGTTGGGTACTGTGGAGTTGATTTCGGCTCATAGCGACCCCATGTGACAGAGTAGAATTGCTCCATAGGATTTTCTAGTCTTTGGTCTTTACAGGAGCAGCTCACCAGTTCTTTCTCCTGCTGAACAGCTGGGTGGGTTCAAACCTCCAGCCTTTTAGTTAGCAACCTGGTTGCATCACCAGGATTCCTTAATTAAAAAAGCAAAAACCAAAGCCACTGCTGTCAAGTCAGTTCTAACTCATAGTGACCCCATAGAGTTTCCAAGGCTATAAATCTCTACAAAAGCAGACTGCCCACATCTTTCTCTTGCAGAGCCACTGGTGGTTTGAAACTGCCGACTTTTCAGTTAGCAGTTGACCGCCTTAACCACTGCGCCACCAGGGTTACTACCTATCTAATAGGGATGTGAAAGAGCCCTGGGGTTGCAGTGGTTAAGCGCTCAGCTAATGGAAGGGTTGGCAGTTCAAACCCATCAGCCACTTCAAGGGAGAAAGCTGTGGCAGTCTGCTTCCATTAAGATTTATAGCCTTGGAAACCCTATGAGAGCAGTTCTACTCTGTCTTGTAGGGTTGCTATGAGTCAGAATCAACTTGACAGCAACAGGTTTGGTTTTTGGAAATGTGAGTTAATGTACAGAAAGCATTTGGTAGGGACTGGCATATAGTGGTCAGTCCAAAGGCTGGCTATTCAGACCACACCTTTGGTAACCCTATCTCCAGTTGGACCCTCACCGGAGGTGGGTACTGGTACTCGTGGGCACTTGCTGGGTTGACCTCTGCCAGTGTCTGGACACCTGCATCTCTCGCATTCACCAGCCGCAGAAAGAGCTCAGCCTCACCTGCCTGGGGATTGGCAACATGGTACTGCATCTGTGTCTTGGATGACAAGACACAGCCCCCACCCTTCATACTTACCTGGGGAATCCCATTCAGTTGCCCAAGGCTAAGGCTGGAGTCCAGAGGAAAGGACCGAAGTGGGAGCCGCCAACGGCCACTTAACACTCGCTGATCCCGGTTGAATAGTACCAGTGAGGCCCAGGCCTTTGGCTGAGGTGTCCTAGCCCATGTTAGCCCCTGCCAGGCCTGCAGCTTACAGATCAAGGATACTGATGGTGAGGGTGGCAGTCTGCAGAACAACCAAAAAGGTGTCAGCAGGGCTGTGTGCCCTTCCTAGCATTCAATCCTCACAGCTACTGGTGCTATATACAGATGAGAAAACTTTGCCAGGGTAAGGACACTATTTGAAAAGCAGAATGAGATAAGCCTCAATTGTGGCAAAGAGCCCCAAAGTCATAATCCCCATGTACTGACCTGGGCACAGGCTGCCTGCTGGCAAGGATGGCACAGTTGCCCGTGGGCCCAGGAGCTGGAGGTGGGGGCAAACAAATGGCGGGTGGCAACACCATGGTCCCTCCTGTATCCTGTCCGTCTCGGGCCAAGCCAGTCATTAGCTGCACCCAAATCCAAGAGGCCTCAAGGCCTCGCAGGAAGTCATAGAAAATGACCAGACCGGCCCTGGGGAATGCTGGCCTAAGCACACAGGCATGCAACCCTCCCTCCCAGCCAGCTCCCCAATGGTAACTGGTCTTAGTTGGTCTTAACTAGCAGTGGTGACCAAGTCACAGAAGGCTGTCAAAGGAGGGGGCAGGCCTCACCCGGGGTCGTAGGGTGCAGGGCCCAGCACATCAGATGGAGGTAGAAGGTGTGGGTCCAGCCCCAGGTTCCTAATCATGTTTCCAGAAAGCAGCGGCTGTCAGGGAACAGAGGACACTTAAGAAAGTCTTCTAGCTGCCCATGCTCCCTCAATTGCAAAGAGCAGAGCTGCCCCCATTACACCCCCTTGGGTCCTCACAGCCTTTCCGGCGCCACCCCAAAACGCGGTGTCTGCGGAGGGTGGAAACGGCGGCAGCGGGGGAGCCACTGGCGGTGGGAGGAGTGGGGCGTCTCCCCTACCCCTCAGGCGTGGTCTGGGGCTGGTCAGGAGTGGCAGATCCCTGGGACCTAAGAGCAGAGGAAAGGTTATGGCGCTCCTGAGCAGGGAGCTAAGACTGGGCTGGGATAGTACTACCCTGAGAGCCGAGCTCGTGAATGAATTCGCCGAGTCATGGGGATACAAGGAGCACACACACAGGCACATGGTGACACGCGTGGACACAGACGACACGGGGCACAAACACGGGTTTCAGTTCCCATGCATGGTCCCACTACCCTTTCCTCTGAGCCGGCCTGCTGGAGCGGGGTAGGCGAGGTGAGGGTAGGGCTTATTGGGCACTGACCCCAGGGCGTCCGGCCCGCGCCCCTCTGCATCTGCAGGGACACGATTTCTGCCTCCAGGCGCCGGTTCTCGGCCTCTACTACCAGAAGCTCCCCGGAGGCGGCACCTGCCCTTCTTTCTGCGAGGAACAAGTCTGATCTGTCATGTCTGACTAACGGTGGCCGGCGGGGTCCGGCTCTGACCAGCTCTCCAGTCTCAGGACCCTGGACAAGGCTGACTTGTCAGCTCATTCTAGTCACTGCCACAAAGACCACCCAGGTTTCCTACCGCGAGGCTTTTGCTCAGGTGGTTCCCCATCCAAAGACGCCCTCCCTAAAGCCCTTTTCTCCCAGGACTGAGACCACCGCTTCCAAGAGGCCCTTTTGGCTGGCCCTTCCTGTTTACCCCTGCGGGCCTGCGACCGCCACAACTCCAGTGCCGATGCCTCCACTTGTAGCTGCCACATCTGGCCCAGAACGCCAGGGTCCCGGCCCCCGCCCCGTACGTAGGCCTCACGCAGGGCCCTTAGGAGGGGAGAACAGGAAGTCAACGTCTTTACACGCTTGGTCAGCGGTTCGTCCCCATCCCGTCCACGGGCCTCTGATCTCACCCTATCTCAGCAGCCAGAGTCCCTGGGTTGGCCTGTAGCAGCGGACAACCTAGTTCAGCCTCTTGCAAGGCTTTCATCCGGGGCCTGGGGTGGGAGGTGATGGGCGGGGAGACAGCATCACGGACCAGACGGGGGCCTCCTGCAGCCCCGCCCCTCCCGGGTCTCACACATTCCGCCTTCCAGGTCGCCAAGACCTACGCCTCGCCGGGCCGCGCTTCCCGCGGGCCCCGCGCCCCGCTCCCTCGCCAAATCCCCGCCTCCGCCGAATCCCCGCCCCTCCAGAGCGGGCTCGGCGACGGGCCGGCCGCGCCCAGGCCCCGCCCCCCGCTCCGCGCTTCGGCTCGCGTGCCGGCGCTCCCGGTCTCACCCTGTGTCGGGGTGTAGCTGTTGAACGCGCCCTTCTAACGCCTCTAGAACTCCCCGCGTTCGTCCGGCCTCAGTCCGAAGTTCTCGAATCTCCCGCTCCAGGCCAAATAGACGGGATATTCCGCCCCGGATCCTGGCCACACCCTGGAGACGCCGGCTCAGTTCTGAGGGAGTTAAGGGAGCGGGGCAGAACGAGTCCGAGCAGTCTTAAGCCAAGGGGTCAGGGGTGCCTAGTACCCCACTTCTTCCTCACCCTCGCCGCGTCGCTCCAGGGCCCGGCCCTGGGCCTCGGTCTCTGCCACGCGCCTTGCGCGATTCCGGTGCAGCGCCCGCAGCCGCTCGTCTGGGCTTCCCAAGGCATCGGAGTTGGGGCCTTGAGCCGGCGCCTCAGAACCCGAGCGCCTCCAGGGCCCCTCTGACCCCCTTGGGAACTCTGTTACCCGGGGTTGCATTTCCTGCAGGGACAGCCGCAGACGCTGCACCTGGAGGTAACATGAATGTGGTCTCTGTTGCTGTAATCTGACCCATCCGTAGGTTTAGGAAGGACACTAGAAGTTTTTGAGCCCGTGGAAAGCCTGGTGTACCTCCTTTGTTAGCCTCCTTAGAGCCGACTTGCTAGCCTCCTGGTCTGGGATGCCCTGGGCTTCTTGTGGCACAACCTGAGAACAGGGTGTAGTGAAAATTTTGAGGGTTAGGGTCGCCTGAATACCCACCTATGGCCATGGAGGAGGCCCTTACCGCGGGGCACCCTGGTTCAGTGGCTGTTGAGGGCTGTGCTCCAAGTGTCACCTCCTGGCTGGAGCGGCCAATGCAGAAGCGTTGGGTGTGGGTGGCCAACAGGGCCCAGGATCGGAAAACCATGTTACAAGCCCCACAGGGCAGGAACCCTGGCTCCTCAGAGGGAGAGGACATTGGATGGGACCCTTTTCCAGATACCAGCCAACACCTGTGGAAAACAAGGGCAGGGGAAAGAAGAGTCGGATGAAAGAGAGGCAGGGAGGAAAGGCCAGGTCTAGAAAGTCTCCAAGATCTCTGGGTTTATGTTTGGGGAGGAGCCTTAGCTCCCAGGGCAGCAACTACAGGTTCAGGCAGGTCTAAAATGGGCGGGGAAGACCTGGTCACCTTTGGGAGGAGTCCCTGGCTTGAAAAAGTGTCACAGAATGTTTCACCTGATTGGTTTCCTTGCTTATATTAATAAAGGGAAATGAACAGCTGCCTCCTCAATAGCTGGGCCCCGTTATCACCCACTCCACCACTGGCCATGTAGTAGCCGCTGGCAAGAGTGAGTCATTGCTCTACTCTCAAGTGGATACACAGTGCAGGGCACCCAGCAGGTCCTGGCTCTGCAGAATGTAGTCCAAGTTAAGTATCATTCTCTAGTCCCGGGAACACCTGGGAGAGGAGGCAGTCTTGCCCTTTTGGAAGGCCCGCCTGGAAACTCTATTTTCCCTAGACTGAATAGCTAGCTCTTCCCAGCACCATGCCTCTCTGAGAGCAACCAGCTTTTGCACAACCTAGGTCACACCAGGGACTAAAGCTCTCTCCCTAACCCCCATACCCCAATTCCTGTGTGTGTCTGCAGCTGTAACGGGAGGATGATCAGCACAGCTCAAGAAATGAAAGCTCTGCAAGAACATAATGAATATATCAGCTGAGGGAATCAACTCCAGAAGGGTACTCCTTTCCCCAAACCTGGGAAGGGGCCGAGTAGGCCCAGTGCTGGCCAAATCACACCTCCTCTCTGTGAATATCTGCATCTATCAGGGAGGGCAGGTGCTCCTTGCTATCCACATGCAGAATAAGAAAACTTTTCTAAACAAGACAGGGACTTAAGGCATTTCCCCTCCACACCATGTAAGGCCAAGGTTTGACCAGCAGCAGGTTACAAAGTGTTTCGAAGTATGTGATCTCAGTCCAGTTCAATTCCAACTGAGAAAAAGGATACTACATTTTTAGAAATTTGTTCTGAGAAAGCTAGTAAGTGGCAAAGCCCAAATATCAACCTACTTCTGACTCCAAGTTTAGTTATTAGTAATTTCACAAAAATACATTCTTAGAGTTCATTTTATTGTATTTCACTGATTCTAAGATGCACATTTTTTCATATTTTAAAAACACAGAAATCGGGATTCACAATTAATGGAGTGTCGTAATTTAACTGGCAAGCCTTTTCCTACTGGTATATGTGTTAGAATAGATGCCATCTTACATTCAATGAAATACTATAGTTCTTACTGCTCTTATCTCAACTGCCATTCACACTTGGATTACTTACATCATTAGCAGTAGGTTCAGTATGGCAGATAAGGTCTCTGCAGGAATCCTGGCCTTTAGAATCTAGCAAATGTTCTACTGGTCTCTCTGCCTCTAGCCTCTCCCCATCTGGTCCAGAGCCCACACTACAAATAATCTTTCTAACATGACATCAAGCCTGTTCTGTCTGTGCTTATCTCCCATTAGAGTATGATCTTGCTCCTCTACTAATCACTCCCTAGTTAATTATCCACTAGGGACTAATTACTGTAAGGATGTCCAAAGAATGCCAGTAGATGTTTGTTGTTTAAATTGATTTGTCCAGAGGCAAGGCCAAGATGGTGGAGTAGTCAGACGGCTTCCCATGTCCTTCTTATGAACAAAGAACTGAAAAACCAAGTGATTTGATTGTATATGAATATCTAGGAGCCCTGAACAAGGCAAAGTTGAGGAATCGGACTGAGTGGCAGGAGAAGAGAGATGGTTCGGAAGCAGCAAGGAATTGCCTGACCTTACCCAGCGGAAGCTGCAGCCCTTCAGCCCAGACTGGCTTGGGGTGTGCAGTGAGGCGGGCATACAGCTCTGTGCCCTCGGGAGGCAGTTTCCACATTGAGAGAGATCCAGCAGCTGAGATTCTGCTTGGACACTCCAAACCAGTGAAAAGCAGCACCCAAGTGGCTAAAGATAAGTATATGTGTGTGGCCTTTCACAGGGATTTAAAAAAAAAAAAACCCATTTGGGAAATACTTCTCTCCCATTTACCTCCTCCCTCCCCACTCTGCACTGGGTCTGGCTGGCTTCAGCAATCTTTGAGTCCCCTGGGCCAGAAGTAGATCCCATAAGGTGCCCGAACCATTCTCCTGGCCGTGGTAGGGGAACAAATTAACAAACAGGGAGAAAATAAGCTACAGGCTCCCCTAAGCCAGGAACTCAGGGTTGGCACAGCTTCTTTGCCTAGGCACAGGCATAAGGGGTCCGCAGACTTTGAGTACCTTCTACCCCTGTATAGACTCGTGTGGACCCATCTCAACAGTGTAAGCCCTCATTACCACAGTAAAACAGGGTAAACACCTGAAGTCTAACTTCAACTATTTCAGCTGTGAAGTGGCAGATTTGTGACACGACACTGCTCTGCCCTTTAAGCAGGCGCCTTACCTATACACATCAGGGGCTTGAGGACTGGTCGCTCCACCCACACCACCTAGCCACCTGCTATAGGGGTCCAAGAGTAAGTGATGCCCCCCCAGTCCTTACAGCCAAAACAGTAGGGAGCTCATAGTCCAGCTGAAAAAGTCACCTACCTACTCGCTCTAGGGAACAGGGACACACTTTCTTTTCAGACACTCAGGGGTAGCCGTCAGCCCCTTGCCTTGCTCAGCACATGACCCCCTACTGCAGCCAGATACCTGTGCCTACACCAATCACCCATGCCTCTCTAAGACCGTAGGTGACAGCCTGCATCACACACTTGGTGACCGACTGCCTGGACACCTGAGCTGAATCCATACAAGAAAATTTAACAGACTCCTGGGCACACAAACTTACACACCTAACTACCTGGTGACAGGATGTTAGAGCTTCAAAGGCACCAATAATCAAACTAGCACACATGAGCAGCCTATTTGGGCATATCAAAAAAAAAAAGAAGCTAGGACACACTAAACAAATATACAATAAAATTATAATAACTTATTGATGGCTCGGAGACAACAGTCAGTGTCAAATCACATAAACAGGCAGTCCATGATGGGTTCAGCAAGCTCCCAAAATAATCAATAAATTTTCTGGAGGAAGAGAATTTCTTGGAATTACCAGAGGCAGAATACAAAAGATCTAATATACAGAACTCTTCAAGAAATTAGAAAGAAAATTTTTCAAAACGCAGAGACAGCCAAAGAACACACAGACAAAGCAGTAGCGGAACTTAAAAAAGTTATTCAAGAGCAGAATGACAAATTTAATAGGCAGCAAGAATTAACAGAGAGACAGCAATGAGAAATCCAGATGATTAACAATAAAATTTCAGAATTAGAAAACTCAATAGAAAGTCATAGGAACAGAATTGAGGCAGTAGAAGTCAGAATTAGTGACACTGAAGATAAAGCACGTGACACCAACTTATTTGAGGAAAAATCAGATAAAAGAATTAAAAAGAATGAAGAAACTCTTAAGAGTTATGTGGGATTCTATCAAGAGAAATAACCTACGAGTGACTGGAGTACCAGAACAAGGAGGGATAACAGAAAACACAGAGAGAATTGTTGAAGATTTGTTGACAGAAAAATTCTCTGATATCATGAAAGATGAGAAGATATCTATTCAAGATGCTCATTGAACCCCACATAAGGTAGATCCCAAAAGAAAGTCACCAAGACATATTATAATCAAATTTGACAAAACCAAAGATAAAGAGAGAATTTTAAGAGCGGCTAGGGATAAAAGAAAAGTCATCTACAAAGGAGAGTCAATTAGAATAAGCTTGGACTACTCAGCAGAAACCATGCAGGCAAGAAGGCAATGGGATGACATACATAAAGCCTTGAAGGAAAAAAATTGCCAGCCAAGAATTATATCTCCCGCAAAACTGTCTCTCAAATATGGTGAAATTAGGTCATTTCCAGATAAACAGAAGTTTAGGGAATTTGCAAAAACCAAACCACAATTACAAGAAATACTAAAGGGAGTCCTCTGGTTAGAAAATATCAGATAACAACGCAAGACTACAACACAGGACAGAGCAACCAGATACCGACTCAGATAGGGAAGTCACAAAAATACATCAAAGCTAAACCATTGAAAATAGGGAAACAGAAATACCAGTATGTAAAAACTGACAACATTAAAACAAAAAGGAGGGACTTAAAAAATGTAGATATAGATTTTTCATAGGGAGGGGAAGTCAAGGCAATATAAAGAAATAAAAGACTGGTATAAACATAGAAAAACGGGTAAATATCAAGGTAACCACAAAGGAAACTAACAATCCTACAAATCAAAATAAAAAACTAGAAAAATATACTCAGCAAACACAAAATCAACAATGACAAAGATGAAAATACATAAAGAAAAATGACTCAGCTCAGAAAATTAAGGGGAACAAAGAAACTGACCAACACACCAAATAAGACATCAAAATGACAGCACTAAACTCATACCTATCAATAATTACACTGAATGTAAATGGACTAAATGCATCAGTAAAGAGACAGAGAGTGGCAGATTGGATAAAAAAAAAGATCTGTCTATATGCTGCCTACAAGAGACACACCTTACACTTAAAGACACGAACAAGCTAAAACTCAAAGGATGGAAAAAAATATATTAAGCAAACAACACTCAAAAAAGAGCAGGAGTGACAATATTAATCTCTGACAAAATAGACTTTAAAGTAAAATCCACCACAAAGGCTAAGGAAGGACACTATATAATGATTAAAGGGTCAATACACCAGGAGAGTGTGTCTCTTAGCCCAAGTATATACAAGAGACTAAACAGGCAGCTTCTGGGCAGATGAGATGAGAAGGCAGAGAGGGTTAGGAGCTGGTTGAATGGACATGGGGACTCGGGTGGAAAGGAGGAGTGTGCTGTCGCAGTATGGGAAGAGCAATTAGGGTCACACAACAATGTATGTATAAATTTTTGTATGGGAGACTAACTTGAAATGGAAACTTCATTTAAACTACAATAAAAAAATACATAAAAAAAAATCAAAAGACATTACACTGGGCAAATCTGCTGCAAAGACCTCTTTAAAGTGTTGAAAAGCAAAGATGTCACCTTGAAGACTAAGGTTTGCCTGACCCAAGCCATGGTGTTTTCAATCACCTCATATGCATACAAAAGCTGGACAATGAATAAGGAAGACCAAAGAAGAATCGATGAATCGTGGTGTTGGCAAAGAATACTGACTATAGTATGGACTGCCACAAAAACCAACAAATCTGCCTTCGAAGAAGTACAACCAGAATGCTCCTTAGAAGCAAGGATGGCGAGACTGTGTCTCACATACTTTGGACAAGTTATCAGGAGGGATCAGTCCCTGGGGAAGAACATCACGTTTGGTAGAGGGTCAGCGAAATAGAGGAAGACCTTCAACCAGACGGATTGCCACAGTGGCTGAAACAAGGGGCTCGAGCATAGCAATAATTGTGAGGATGTTGCAGTACCGGGCCTTGTTGCATTCTGTTGTAGGTAGGATCGTTATGAGTTGGAACTGACTCAAAAGCACCTAACGACAGCATACTCAAGGTCATACTTTGGCTTTTGTGGACTTGTTCTAATTTTCTTCAGCTTGAACTTTCACAGGAGCAACTGGTAGTCTGTTCCACAGTTGGCCCCTAGCATTAATCTAACTGATGGTATTGAGCTTTTCCATTGTCTCTTTCCACAGATGTAGTCAATTTGATTCCTGTGTTCTCCATTAGGCAAGGTCCATGTGCTGTTTTATGTTGGTGAAAAAAAGATACTTGCAATGAAGAAGTTGTTGGTCTTGAAAAATTCTATCAGATAATAAATCCTTTGCCATTGAGTTGATCTTGGCTCATAGTGACCCTATAGGACAAAGCAGAACTACCCCCCCCAGGGTTTTCAAGGAGTGGCTGGTGGATTCGAACTGCCAACCTGTTGGTTAGCAGGTGAGTTCTATCATAGATTGAATTATGTCCCCCCAAAAATGTGTGTATCAGTTTGACTGGGCTATGATTCCTGGTATTGTGTGATTTTCCTATATGTTGTAAATCCTGCCCCTATGATGTTAATGAGGGAGGATGGGCGGCAGTTTTGTTGGTGAGGTAGGACTCAATCTACAAGATTGGATTGTGTCTTGAGGCAATCTCTTGAGATATAAAAGAGAGAAGTGAGCAGAGACAGGGACCTCATACCACCAAGAAAGCAGTGCTGCGAGCAGAGCGCATCCTTTGGACCTGGGGTCCCTGTGCGAAGACGCTCCTAGTCTGCGGGAAGATTGATGAGAAGGCCAACAGAGTGAGAAAGCCCTCCCCTGGAGCTGACACCCTGAATTTGGACTTTTAGTCTACTTTACTGTGAAGAAATAAATTTCTCTTTGTTAAAATAAATAAATTGATTTGTCCATCACATCTCGGCCAAAGGTTTCATCTTCTTTATGGTAACTTTTACTTTTCCTACTGCTAGGCTGGGCACTCCTTGCATGCCTGAGACATTAAAACAGGGGCTTGGGAAGTATTTGTGGAATAAAAGAGCTTGCTTCCTCCACTGGTTATCCAACTAGTACTACCACAATCCCCTTCTCCTCATGCTCTTGTATTAACAGGAGGGTCCTATCTGCCATACAGACCTTCTTTAACACATGCACATTGGTAAATACATTGTCGTTTGCTGTTGCTTGCTATCCAGTAGATTCCGACTCATAGCTACCTGTGTGATAGAACTGTACCACAGGGTTTTCTTGGCTGTACTCTTTACGGAAGCAGTTTGCCAGGTCTTTGTCCTTCGGAGCTGCTGGGTGGGTTAGAACAGCCCACCTTTTGATTAGCAGCATAGCACTTAATCATCTGCACCACCAGGGATCTTTGGTAAATTTACCGGCAGTCAAAAATGATTTTGGGAAGGAAAATTGGGTTTCTAATTTTATTACAGGTATCCCCCACTTTTTGAAAGTTTGCTTTATGCCACTTCGCTTTTATGAAAGACCTACATTAGTATCTGTTTCCGATAACCAAAAGAAATCCAAAAAGGATTTTCGCTTTTATGAAAAAAATGCAAAAAGCAGAAACAGTGTTCTGTGTTTGTTTTGCAGTGAACCGTTAAAAAGGCAGTGCTGTGCACCTGGGCAGCAAGAGCGGCGTCACCAAGCTCCTTCCCCGGGAACTGCATGCAGTATCTCAGCATCAAGCCGCCATAGCTTTGAACTGTGTCTGTGAGCATCTGTGCTTTATCTTGATTTACTTTGTGAATCAGTCAGCAAGACGCGTCCTAAGGTGTGTGTTATTTGGTAGGTTATTTTTTGAGTTTGGGAACGCTGAAACATTCTTACCACATAAATTGTTTCTTTGCTTTATGCCGTTTTCGGCTTACAAAAGGTTTCATAGGAACACTACTTTGCATAGGGTTTTCTGCATCAAAAAAGTATCTGCTAAAAGGAGAAACAGATGTACCCAGTTTCAGAGTCTCACAGACTCTAAAAACATTTCTCCTAAAAAAGAATCCATTTAAGAACAGGCACTTCACCAAAGAAGATATTCAGGCAGCTAACATACACATGAAGAAATGCTCATGATCATTAGCCATTAGACAAATGCAGATCAAAACTACAATGAGGTATCATCTCACCCCAACAAAGCTAGCATTAATCCAAAAAACACAAAATAACAAATGCTGGAGAGGTTGTGGAGAGACTGGAACACTTAAATACTGTTGGTGGGAATGTAAAATGGTATAACCACTTTGGAAATCAATTTGGCGCTTCCTTAAAAAGCTAGAAATAGAAGTACCATACGATCCAGCTATCCCCCTCCTTGGAATATATCCTAGAGAAACAAGAGCCATCACATGAATAGATATATGCACACCCATGTTCATTACAGCACTGTTCACAAGAGCAAAAAGATGGAAGCAACCCAGGTGCCCATCAACGGATGAATGGACAAACTATGGTATATCCACACAATGGAATATTATGCAATGATAAAGAACAATGATGAAGCTGTGAAACATCGTATAACACGGTGGAAGCTGGAACTTATGCTGAGTAAATTTAGTCAGTCACAGAAGGACAAATACTGTATAAGACAACTGTTCTAAGAACTAAAGAAAAGGTTTAAACACAGCAGAAAACACTGTTTGATGGTTACGGGGGTGAGGAGGGAGGGTGAGGGTTATTCACTAAGTAGATAGTAGATTAAGAATCATCTTAGGTGAAGGGAAGGACAGCACACACTACAGGGGAAGTCAGCACAACTGGACTAAATCAAGCTAAGATGTTTCCTGAATACAATCAAATAGTTTGAGAGACAGAGTAGCAGGGATGGGAGGTCTGCAGACCATGCTTTCAGGGGACATCTAGGTCAATTGGCATAACAAAGCTTATTAAGAAAATGTTCTGCATCCTATTTTGGTGAGTGGCGTCTGGGGTCTTAAAAGCTTGCTAAGTGGCCATCTAAGATGCATCAATTGGTCCCAACCACTTGGAGTAAAGGAGAACAAAGAACACCAAAGACACAAGGAACTATTAGCCCAAGAGACAGAATGGGCCACATAAACCAGAGACTTCGTCAGCCTGAGATTAGAAGAACTAGAGGGTGCCTGGCTATCACCAATGACCTTCCTGACAGGGAACACAACAGAGAGGGTCCCTGACGGAGCAGTAGAAGGATGGGGTGCAGAACTCAAATTTTAGTACGAAGACCAGACTTAATGGTCTGAGACTGGAGGTGCCCCAGAAGGCATGGCTGCTGGACTCTCTATCAGCCCAGAACTGAAACAATTTCCGAGGCCAACTCTTCAGACAGGGATTGGACTGGACTGTGGGACATGAAGTGATACTCGTGAGGAGTGTGCCCTCTGAGTCAAGTAGATACAACAGACCAAAGGGGCAGCTTCTGTCCAGAGGTGAGATGGGAAGGCAGAGAGAGTTAGGAGCGGGTTGAATGGTCATGGAGAATCAGGGGCGGAAAGGAGGAGTGTGCTGTCGCAGAATGGGGTGGGCAATTAGGGTCTCATAACAATGTATGCAAAAAAAATTTCTGTATGGGAGACTAACTTGAAATGTAAACTTAATTTAACTACAACAAAAAAAATCCATTTCATGTAATTTTAAAGAAAATATTCTTACACAAGACAATCCAAACTGATGCAAAATATTTATTCCAAGTTAGTTATTTTATGCAGTTTTCCCCCTCATAACAGACTTGTGATAGCCACATCTTTTAAATCCGTAAATAATGTTATCAAAATAATCTTAATCTTTGAAATCTCACAAAAATTTATATTTTACAATCCACCCTGAATATCAAGGCTGCAAGAATAACACAACATTTCCTATATCCAAATATTTTACAGCTGTACCCGAAAAGAAAAAAAAAAAAAAAAAAAGAAGAAAACCACATTTGCTTGGTTAAGGGCTAAAGTTACCCGAGCAGCCAAAAATAAAATAAAATATCCAAATTATTAGCATTAATTTAATACAATTATAACTTCAATAGTCACTTTGTCATTGACAATGATTGCTTGAGCACAGGGGTGAGTGAGTGCCCCAAGGGCTGGTAGTAGAAGCTGTTGCTGCAGACCAGTGTCTCCTCCTCTCTGCACTGCCAGCTTCCACCTGTGCATCGCCCCATAGATACTGTAAGTGTATGTGTGTGTGTGTGTGTGTGTGTATATATATATATGTATGTATATATATATATATATATATACACATATATTTTAAATCTTTCCCACCACACAAACTTCTCTCTATTAAGCAGAAAACAGGGAAGAACAACAACAAAAGCTAAACAAGCCAATCTCTCTCTCTTTGGGATATAATTATTTCCCTTGTGCATAAAGTATTCAACAACAACATAAGAAAAGGAAAAGAATGATTTCTTTTGTATACTCCCTAAACACACAAGCCGAGTTTACTGGGTCAGATTAACTGTGAGCATTTATATGCCTACTTCCAGGCATCGTCATCTGATGTTTCACTGCTACTGGTTTCTGTGTCTGAGTCCTCAAACTCTGCTTTATGAGTGCTTCTCCAAGGAGAGAACAGGCTGGAACTGCGGCTCTGTAAGAAGCCATTCTTCCCAAAGCCATTTCTTCTTAGCTGTGTGGGGAAGCATGGGAGAGAAAGAAAAATCATCAACAGCTATACTGGTCCATGGGACCTGCGAAGGGCCAGGCCTAGGAATATCACCTCATCTTCTAGTATGTTATAGCAGGGCTTTTCCAACTTTAATGTGCATATGAATCATCGAAAAGACTTTTTAAAATTCTGTTCAGTATGTCTGGGGTAGGGTTTGAGATCCCCAATTTCTAACAAGCTCTCAGGAACACAGTTCTAAGTAGCATGGTCTTAATGTCAGTCAGTCTGTAACATCTCCCTTTAAACTTATCACACTTGTAATTTATGTTTTAAATACCTGTCACCACAATATAAGCTCCACGAAGTTTGTAGAAAACCCATTTTGTCTTGTTCACTGCTATAAACCTCAGGGTCTGGCAGTGTTTTACTAATGGAAAACATCCAGGCATTTGTTGAATAAATTTAAATTCTGGTTTCTTAGCTCCTCTGGCCAGAGTACCAGGAGGAAACCACAGAGATGGAAGCAAGGTAGGATGAGCCTGTTTCCCTAAGTTGCCCAAGGGCTCTGGGGCTCAGAATGTTAACTTTGGAACATGACCTTGTGATTCAGGTGTGAGAATGAAAGAACATACTACTTCTCAAATCTGCTAACTATTGCCCTGGTTTTTGTACCCACTACTGGAGACCCCACTGCCCAAGCAGTTAGATGCCTACACTTGTACTGTCCTAAGTAACTTTTTTTTCCCCCCTAAGGTTATCCTCTCACACTAAACCAGGATTCCCTAAGGGAAGGACTGTCCTGATTCCTTTCTCTCCTAGTTCTTAGTTGGTCTCCAGGAAAGGTTTATGAGCATACCTGCTCTGTCTTCATGTGGAACTCTTTGAGCTCATCCTCTGTGAGAGGAAGGAAATTCTCATCATTTTCGGGATACTCCTGCCATCCCATTGCTTTCAGTAACCTGGTGGAGGCAGAAGGACGGGCAAAGAAAATACGATACCTTTAAGCTTGAGCGGGCAGCCTATAACTTTTCACCCTGCCTAGGAGCACTGGGATCTGCTTAGAAGTTAGAGAAGGAACTTGGTTTTTCTCTTTTACCCAGTGGGACAAGTTTTAATTATGGCTACGGAGGTGCTCATAATTAAATTGGGGGAGGACAGGATACATCCACCGTTTAGAGAACAAGCGCTATAGGACAGTAAAAGCAGCAGAAAAGAAACAAACACCATAAGGGCCCTCTGTCCCATAGATCAAAACAAAGGAGGAAATCTCACTTTTGTTTCTTATAAGCCAAATTAGCACATTTCCACATGTACCTAAGTTCTCTTTCAAATGCACTGCACTGTCAGCCCCCTCAAAACCTTGTCACCTCTGGATAGGAGCCTCCTTTCAGGAAGGAACCGCCATATTTGCAGGCCCCACCTACCATCTACTTGCCCAGACAGCTGGCTGCTGTGTTCAAGACCCTCATTCAAACAACACATTCTACACATGACGGTCTCATGCGTTCTGGGACCCCTTAAAGGAGTCTTATGGTAACTGCTCATTTGGGGCCAGGAGGTTGCTAAGGCGCCAGGCACGAGTTTCAGGAAACAGGTCCTCTCCTCTCCCATCTCTTGCTGGAGCCATAAACTGAGTCTGAAAGGAAATGCTCAGCGGGCAAAGGACAACCTGGGGCATACAGAGAGAACAAGGTATGGTGCTCACTGGACTTCTCTCTGTATGCTAGACTTGATCTGATATGTGTTCTCAAGTATGTCCAAGGACCTTGCAGGCCATACACAGCATGCCCTGTGATTCGATTCTCACTCACCTGTGCTCAGCTTCCAGAGAGTGCGAGAGGACCTCCCCTTCCTCCACTATGGGGAGAGCAAGGCCATTCTGATGACAGCTTTCCTCTCCATTTTCCTTTGGCTCAGGTGTACTGCTGTTCTCCAACTGCCGGAAGGCAAAGGAAGGAAGCTTTGGTTTAACAATTCTTTGTGGCAAGATAAGCAACCCACAAGGTCGAGGAGTCAGAACCAGAAAAGTGCTTTCCAGAAGACAGCCTCTGTCCCCAGGTTTCCCCCACTTAAAAATGAGGTCTTGTTCACCTTGCTAAGATTTCCAAAGGACATCAACTGACAACCACCCTTTCTTAATTTTAGGTTATGTCAACTGTGGCAGAAACTACTAGATACTTATGTAATATACATTTCCTGTTCTTCCTTACTAACAGAACTTTGATTGTTTGACAGGGGGACCAATGTGCTCACCTAAAAAAAGTTTATTTTCCTAGGCTCCCTTGCAGCTAGGAGTGGCTATCTGACAGCTGGCCAACGAAGTATAAGTAGAAATTGCTAAGTATGGTATCTAAGAAAGCTTTAAAAAAAAGGGACAGACATCTTTTCCCTAAACAGAACGTGGATAGAATGCCTAGAGGTCATAACCATCCTAGTCCAATATGACCAAAAGTTATGGATTTTGTAATGACACCGAGCTGCCATACACTCTTGGACTGCCTACCTCTACCTTCCTGTTGCAGGACACAAACAAACCTCTTACTTGTTTTATAGTTGCGTTTACCAAATTTTTCTTTTATTACAGTTAAATACAATCTTAACTAATAAAAGCTTCTCTAACTCACCTACTTCTTACAGCACTGACCAAATCAAGATTTGATGGTGGTGCTGCCCTTGACCAAGAACACTGAGTCCCAGGGCATCTGTCATGGAAATTTCTGCCAGGATTAAACTCATTTTCCTATAGGCTCTATCTACTAGGCTGTTACTTCACAGACAAAATCTCTGTACATTTTAAAACTTGCTATACCTTTCCCCTTTAAAATAAAAACTCTAGACATATAACAAAGGAAAACACTGGCAAAGCCCTTCCTTTCCTCACCCTATGCTGTCCCAGAAAACCCCTCTGCTCTTACATCCTCCAGCTTGTCACAGTCTCTGTTCTCTGAGAAGTCTCCATTCCGGTCATCCTTCAGAGTCTTCAGGAACTCACTCTTCCTGTCGGTAGTTCGGCGGGTCAGCTTGGTCAGACGAGATGAGCTGATCTCAATTGGAGGGGTGGTGCTGGAGGGACTCTGGGCAAATATCACAAATAGTTTGCTCCTGACAGCAAAGAGCAGGAACTGGGATTCTAGGGGTTATTTCTATACAGCATTGATTTCCAGAATCTGATAGCCTATTTATTACTCTGTTTTTATCAAAATAATCCTTTTCATTTAAAAAGACTTCTGCTTTGCATGCAAGGTTTTTACAGTTAAGACAGACTGGCTGATATAAAAACAAACCAAACCAGTTGTCACTGAGTTCATTTTAACTCATGGCAACTCCATGTGTGTCAGCAATAGAAGGTGCTCCATAGGGTTTTCAATGGCTTATTTTTTGGAAGTAGACTGCCAAGCCTTTTTTCCGAGGTACCTTTGGGTAGACTTGAACTGCCAACCATTTAGTTAGCAGCCGAAAGTGTTAACCATTTATACCACCCAGGGAACCTGGGTGATCCAGCACCTCATTTAATCTTTCCATAGACACTAATAGAATGCCAGGATAACACAGGTCAACATTATTCTATCACAGAGCAATTATCCCACCCAGCTACTGCCCACCTCTGGATGCTAATGGGAAACACGAGTAAAGAAATAATTCTCAGCTACGCTCAGCTACAAAAGTGGTAGTTAGGGCTATACGTGTCACATTGTATATCTTAGCATAAGTGAATGGGAAATGGAAAGTCTAGAAAGGGCTGCCCTGCTTTACCCTTAACTCACCTCTTTGGGAGAGCTTAGAACTGCACCACCAGCCAGTACCACTGGTTTGGTAACAGAGATTGGACTGGTAAAACCAGACTCCCGGCTAGAGGAAAGGGATCCTGATTTGTGTTCCATTCTGTTAGCCTTCCATGCACTGGGCTACATAGGAAAAAAGAACAAATCAGTCCAAACAAGCATGCAGACAGAAGTTCAGCTAAAAAGATCATAAACCAAAGAGTGAGATGTTAAGAAGTGGGAACACAAGTTCCCAGAGCTTACCTGTCTCAACATAGTTGGGAGGTATGCAACCTCTTTCTGAGGTTAGGCACTTGAAGGAAAAAGGCAGATGGGCAACCAGAAGAACCATGGGATGTTAGTAAGTATTCTTCAAAAACAGAGCTCTAGTTCAATAGTTGCTGGTGAGCAAAGTTCAACAGGTTTCTTTACTATGCTATTTCTCAAAGCATTTAACTGGTACGTGAAGTTGAGACGCAAATATAACACATAGCATTTGCCAAAATTACCTGACCCCAATTTTTTTTTTATGGTAGGCTTGTTGACCTCTGATATACCCAGATATCCCATAAAGTTAAAAGAAAAATGCCGTTTTCCAGAACTTTAATGGAAAGGGTCTAGTTCCCAGCCAGGGTGGGCAATATAAATAGCTGGACAATCCTAGTTTAGCCCAGAGGCCCTTCTTTTTGCTCAGCACCAAAGAGACTGGGTCCATTCTGCCACATTGGCCCTGGCCCCAACTACGCTGGCAGCATAGTATAGCTAGAACAGTATAACGGAAACACTCTGCTTTTCTGATTCAATCGCACCGAGGAGATCAAGAAAGATGAGGCAAGTCAATGGAGTGGGGCTGAAGCAAGCGAGAAGCTTCTATTTGTTTTTCCAGAATGGAAGAACTAGAACCAACAGACCTCCAGGACAAAAAAAGAGAGTCTGAATGAGAAGAATTCCTTTCCTGGGTGCTTTCTTGGTTAAGAGGTATTAAAGAGTACACCGTAGGCTTTAAGACGGTGTCTACTGAGTATCTACCATGTACCGGATGCTTGTCATACCATCTTACTTAATCCTTAATAATGCCATCAGGTATAATTTTTGATATATCCTCTTTTTACAGAGAATGAAGGTGAGTACAAGAAAGTTACGCAATTTGTCCAAGGTTACTCTGTCAGTGCGAATTGCTTTTTCACTATCCTAGAACGTCTCCAAAAAGAATATGCAAGCAAATAAGACAATGACCCAACCAGAATGAAGATTCACTTTTTTTCTTGCACTGATGAAAATCTAAAGATTTATCAGGTTAACTATCAAAGATTATTTGTGGCTTTGTGGGTATTTTCACCAGATGCCTTGTATTTCTTTTAAATTGCCACTTCAACTTTTGGGTTTCTGCCACAGTAGTAAGGAAAGTTTATTAGACAGCATTACATCCAACAGGATACCAACATCTCTGCTCAATTTTATTCCAACTTAATTTTTAGTTAACTCTTAAACACTACAGTATAGCTAGCTTCCCACTGAAGAAAATCATTATGCCACCATGCCCTTTTTTATGAGATGTATTTTTTAAAATCCACTAAAGTGAACTGCAAATCAACCACAGTTTCTTTTTAAATGTCCTCGCCTTCCCACAAGATGGCGATTCAACCCCAACTCTCTCTCCTTCAAATGATCTTTTCTACTACTGGGCTGAGAAGTCTGAAGTAATCAGACCTAAACTTTTCCCAATTCCCTCCTCTGTACCTCAAGTTCCTTTGAAAGCTCCCTCCTTTTTCCCATTCTACATCTACTCATTCTCTTTTGTGAATTTATCAATTACTTCCCCCCTCACATCTTCAATCACTTCCTCTATAATAATTTTTTCTATTCTATCTAAAAACATGCTCAGCTACCTTACTGAAGCTGGGGGTGGGGGGAACATAACCATTTTCCCTCATCTTTTATCTACCATCCTTTTATTGCCAATTTTTCTTCTCAAATGTTTTCCACTTGGTCAGTATTACTTACAACAGTACTTAATTCCCTGCAGTACTCGCCTCTGTCCCCATTCTAAAACAGCTCATGATTTCACAAACAGCCAAAAATCTTGTCCCTATATTAAATTCAAAGCCTATCTGTCAAACATGTCTTCTTTGGAGAATGAGATATTACTCATTACACATCTTTTTTGAACCTGTCCTTCTCCCTCTCTCTCTTTCCTTCTCAATTCCCTGATGCTTCATTCTCTAAATTCTCTTCTTAGCTCCTGAATTCCTCTCACACTTTTCACTGGAGGTAGGTATTCTACAGGGTTTTAGCCTCAGTGCTCTTCTTCGGCTGTAATCTCTTTCTAGGTAAACTTCATTAGAAAAACTAGTTATTTGTAACTGTTTAATCAGTTTAACTTGTTAAAATTATGTAGATAATACGTAAAACTGTATCTCTACCGTAACCTCTCCAGAACTTTTGTAAGGGCTTACACGATTTGCTTTTAGTCTTACTTCACACCACTTCCCAAGCACCAGCCATATGGAACCACTTGTCTTTCCCCAAATATGGCGTGTTTTAACCTCCATTTTCTAGTATTGATAGTTCCCTCTGCCCAGAATGCTCCACAGACTTGCTCCCTAAACAAACTCTTATTATTTTTAAATTACCATTTACTGAATACTTAGGATGTGCCAGGAACTATATTCCAAGGACTTTTTGTACTTTAATTTCATCCTTTTACCAAAATCATGTGACAAACATACTATAATTAACTACAATTTATTGTTGAGGAAACAAATTTAGCAAAATTAAATAACTTGCTCAAGGTCATAACCCTAGACACTGGCATAAAGATTTCAACTTAAGTCAAGGTTTGACTCAAAAGTCTGAATTCTCAACTTCCTTTCTCCTATTCATGTTTAAAGATACGAGGCATTCTGGGGCAGTGGAAAGAGCCCTAGGTTTGAACTCAGATAGACCTAGTGGAAGAGTTCTTACTCCATCACTTATTAGCTATGTAACCTCATATTACATAATTCTATACATCCTATCACTTGTCTGTCAGTTTGTCATACTGTGATGGTTTGTGTGTTTGCTCTGATGCTAGAAACTATGCCACCAGTTATTTCAAATACCAGCAAGGTCACCCATGGTGGACAGGTTTCAGTGGAGCTTCCAGACTAAGACAGACTAGAAGAAGGACCTGGAGATACACCTCTGAAAACCTGGCCACTGAAAACCTTATGAATAGTGGCAGAATACTAGCTGACATAGTGCTGGAAGATGAGCTCCTCAGGTTGGAAGACACTCAAATATGACTAGGGAAGAACTGCCTCCTCAAAATAGAGTTGACCTTGACGTGGACGGAGTAAAGTTTTTGGGACCTTCATTTGCTGATGTGGTACAACTCAAAATGAGAAAAATCAGCTGCAAACATCCATTAGTAATCGGAACATGGAATGCACAAAGTATAAATCTAGGAAAATTGGAAGTCATCAAAAATGAAATGGAATGCATAAACATCGATATCCTAGGAATTAGTGAGCTGAAATGAACTGGTACTGGACATTCTGAATCAGAAAATCATATGGTCTATTATGCCAGGAATGACAAACTGAAAAGGAACGGTGTCACATTCATTGTCAAATAGAACATTTCAAGATCCATCCTGAAACACGACACTGTCAGTGACAGGATAATAATCATATACCTACAAGGAAGACCAGTTAATACGACTATTATTCAAATTTACGCACCAACTGCTGAAGCCGAAGATGAAGAAATTGAAGATTTCTACCAACTTCTGCAGTCTGAAATTACTCAAATATGCAACAAAGATGTACTGACAATTACTGGTGATTGGAATGTGGAAGTTGGAAACAAAAAAGGATCAGTAGTTGGAAAATAGGGCCTTGGTTACAGAAATGACACAGGAGACTGCATGATAGAATTTTGCAAGACCAATGACCTATTTATTGGAAATACCTTTCTTCAACAACATACATGGTGACCTCACCAGATGGAACATACAGGAATCAAATCGACTACATCTGTGGAAAGAGATGATGGAGAAGTTCAGTATCATTGGTCAGAACAAGGCCAGGGGCCGACTGTGGAACAGACCATCAATTACTCATATGCAAGTTTAAGCTGAAACTGAAGAAAATTAAAACAAGTCCATGAGAGTCAAAGTCTGACCCTGAGTATATCCCACCTGAATTTAGAGCCATCTCAAGAACAGATCTGACATATTGGATATGAATGATCAAAGACCAGACGAGTTGTGGGATTACATCAAGGACATCACACATGAAAAAAACAAAAGGTGATTAAAAAGACAGGAAAGAAAGAAAAGGACCAAAATGGATTTCAGAAGAGACTCTGAAACTTGCCCTGGAATGTAGAGCAGCTAAAGCGAATGGAAGAAATGATGGATTAAAAGAGCTGAACAGAAGATTTCAAAGTGTACAACCACTATGGAAAACGGTATGGTGCTTCCTTAATAAGCCAGAAACAGAATTACCATATGATCCAGCAATGCCATTCCTATGTATGTATCCTAGAGAAATAAGAGCTGTCACACGAACAGACACATGCACACCCATGTTCACTGAAGCATTATTCACAATAGCAAAAAGATGGAAACAACCTAAGTGTCCATCAATGGATGAATGGATAAACAAATTGTGGTACATACATACAACAGAATACTATGCAACGATAAAAAATGATGAATCTGTGAGACATCTCACAACATGGATGACTTCGGAGGACATTATGCTGAATGAATAAGTCAATCACAATTGGACAAATACTATGAGAGACTATTAGAAAAAGTCAAGAATAGGTTTATGCACAGAAAGAAACATTCTTTGATGGTTACTAGAGATGGGAGAGGAGGGAAGGAAAATCACTAACAAGATAATGGACAAATGGTAACTCCGGTAAAGGGAAAGGCAATACACAAAATGGGGGAAGTCAGCCCATTCAGACCAAGGCAAAGGAAGACACTGAGTGGTACGAAAGAATAAAGGACAGCTACAGTAAATGTTATAATATATATAATCCTAAAACAACAGTAATAACAATCTGTGAGTAGATACACAGGCTAATATGTATGCTAAATATGTGAGTGAGGTCATATGGGAGTGCACAAATGTACAAATATGGGTATGGTT